TACCCAACTTCGCGCGCTCACCAATGCCCACTAAAGAGTCGTGGCAAAACACACCTCCATCTGGTGCATCCCCGAACCCCAAGGTACGGGTAGCAGCGTCGAGCTCACCTATGCCTTCACCCAAGACTGTCATCTACATCAGTCTTATGCTTGCGGTACTCATCAACCCTACTACGGCCACACCCATAAGTCCCTTCGCCCCAGGTCTCGTCCGAGCCCGCAGCCTTTCTGCCTACACAACCACAACGACCAGTTCGCCCGACGCTGCAGCCATTGCTGGCAAAGTCTTCTCTTGGATGAGCACATTCCTCTACCTTGGATCCCGCCTCCCCCAACTATATATGAACCAAGTCCGCAAATCGACAGCTGGTCTCTCACCCGCGCTCTTCGCAGCAGCCTTCTTTGGTAACCTCTTTTACTCGACTTCTCTGCTTACAAACCCCTGTGCATGGTACGACTACGCACCCGGCGAAGGCTCTGGCTGGGTCGACCCTCAAGGTAGTGTGCGAGAAAATTGGGTTCTACGCGCGGCACCCTTCTTCTTCGGCGCAGCTGGCGTTCTCCTCATGGACGCAGCCGTTGGTCTTCAATTCTGGTATTTCGGCGACGCTGCACCACGCGGTCGATCTATGCTACCCCGTGACGACGAAGTCATCATCACCGTCGACGATCACGGCAAGCTGGTGCGCAGGAGTATGCACTGGCGCCGAGTAAGCGGGTGGATGAGGGGCTGGGCACCTGCCGTTAGTGTAGCTGCTACGCCCAATGTGAGTCGTGCGAACACACCCATGGATTCCCCGAGAGAAAGCAGTCCGGCCAGTTTGGCTGGCAGTAGCTCCAGCAAGAGCATTCCTATCAAAGGGAAGGGTAGTGCCTTGGACGAAGCCAGGGCGCTTTTGGGAACAAGCAGACATGCAAGTCCAAGGAGTTATGGGGCTGTGGGCAGTCCTCGGTAGTGAGCTAGTTGCATTCACAATGCGTATCGAGTTCATGGCTGGATCCTATTACTGGGCATGTATTGCATAGTTGCATCTACGATCGGCGTTCTTGGGAGCATTAGCATTGATGCCTACACATCTTAACATATGAAACAATCATTATTCTTACCATGCATCAATGTCCAGAAACATGCCATTCTCGAATATGACCCAGTCACTAAGCGCAAGAAAGACAGAAGGAAAGGGGTTGAGTTCAGAACAAGGTAATACTGCAATTGGATCTTCCGTTATTTCATCATAGTTTCTATGATTTGCTTGAGAAGATAACGGGGAAACCACATCTATCTAAACCGCCCTTGACAAGGAAAAAGGCACCAGAACGCCGAGCTCGACTAGCAACAAGAAAATGTAACCAGACCGAAAACCCGAAGAGCCCCCCCCCCTACTGCGAAGGTATCACACCCTTATACAAAACATGTCTTGGTAATCGTACAGAAAAGCCGGGAGGTGTGTGTTGTATACATTGGCAACGCCGTCGTCGATGGCATTTGCCCTTCAGGAAGTCGAACTTTTAGGGAATCTCTAGAAAAGGAGGAACGCCAATGGTAAGAAAGGCGTTTAGACACGCGAGACATCGCGACCGAAGCACTTGGCCTTGGCCCAGTCAAGCATGACCAATATCCTGTTACGGGTGCTGAAGCACATGCTGAGGTATGCCGAGCGCCAGAAGATGTAGGTAATGGTACCGCCGGAAGCAATGTTGCCAGAGAACCATGAGATGTCGGCAACAGCCTTCTCGGAACCAATGTAGGCGAGCGAACCCTGGTGGGAGTACTCAAAGGGACCGATAGACTTGATCCTCCTCAGCCTCTGCTGCAGAGCCTTGATCTCGCCAAAGACCTTGTCACGCGCCTCCTTTCCTGGTGCCTTCTCCTGTGCAACGGAGAGCTCGGCAAGCTCGCCCTCAATCTCAGAGGTCTTGGCCATGTTGTTGAACATGCGGGCGAGGAAAGCACCCTCCTGAGCGGCGACCTGGGCAGTGGGGGCGTAGTTGGCAACGGCGCAGTCACCGACAGCCCAGACGTTCTCGGTACCCTTGACGACGAGGTACTCGTTTACGGCGAGACCACGGCGGGAGTCCTTTTGTGCGGGAATCTGGTTGATGAGGTCCTTGACAATGGGTCGGAGAGCGTTACCGGTAGCCCAGACCAGAAGGCCGTAAGGGATCTTCTCGAGCTGCTTCTTGCCATCAGGGCCAGTCGACTCAGCCTCGATGAACTTTGATGTGACGTTCTTGACCATGGTCTTTGTGCGGATGGTGATGGTCTCTTCCTTGAAGGTCTTCTCAGTGTAGTCGATGAGCTGCTTGGAGAACATGGGAAGGACGTTGGGCAGAGCCTCAACGAGGGTGACCTTGAAGTTATCCTGAATCTCGGGGAGCCACTTCTTCAAATCAGAGTGGAAGAAGTCCTGGAGCTCACCAGCGAACTCGACACCAGTGGGACCACCTCCAACAACGACCATGTGTAGCAGGCGCTTCTTCTCCTCGTCAGACTGGTCCTTGAAGGTAGCGGTCTCGCAGCAGTCCATGATGCGGTTTCGGATGCGCTGAGCATCGCCGACCTCCTTCAAGAAAAGACCGTTCTCCTTGACACCGGGAATGCCTGTTCTATGTTAGCTTTGTTCAGGTCAAAGTGGGCAAATGACGCACCGAAAGTGGCGTTCTCAGCGCCAACACCAACGACCAACATGTCGAAGGGAACCTCGGTCTGCGAGACGTCGCCCTTGATGTCTGAGTCGTCGCTGATGTAGACGACCTTCTTCTCGTAGTCGATCTTGGTGGCCTCAGCTTCGTAGTATTTGACCTGCGCCTTCTTGTGGCGCAAGAAGTTGCGGATGGGCTCCATGATGGAGCGGTGCTCAATGGTGCCGACAGTGCATGAGGGAAGGAGAGGAGTGAAGAGGAAGTAGTTTCGGGGGGAGACGACGATGACATTGTAGTTCTCCGTGTCGAGCTTCTTCAGCAGAGAGACGGAGCCCCAACCGGTACCTGTCGCGTGTCAGCGGCGTCCTAGAAATACACAATTGATTAATGGCTACTCACCGAGAACAACCAGAGTCTTCTTGCTTGGGTCAGGCGGCGGCTGGTCGGCGGGGTTGCGAGTCTCGTAGATGCCGTATCCGACGTATCCAAGGCCGGCGATGGCGGAGAGCTGGGTGAGGCGCCACGTCCAGCGCAGGAGGCGGAACCTCTTAGGCTTAGGCTTGGGCGCGCCGCTTGACTGCTGGCGGACAGACTGGCGGAGAGCAATCTGATACTGGGTAGGCCGGGGAGTCCATTGCGCCCTGTTGGCGATAAGCGACGGGCGCTGTGTGCTCAAGTTCCTGCGTCCAGCCAGCTGAACCTGCGAGAGGACATTGGCAGAAGCGGCGAGCGGCCTCATGTTGGGTGCCATTGGGATGGAGGAAGCCACGGGAGAGCTTCACGAAATCAATGGCTGGATATAGGTGATAGGGAAGGCGAACAAAAGGTGTTGAGGACGGTTCCAGAGTGCGCGGAAGTCAACTTTTTCCTTAGCGATGACGAACACCCTACCAAGACGTCCAGCAGGGGTCTTTGCTTCTGCGCCAAAAGATAAGCCCTGTTCCAATTAAAGCCCGCCCTGCCGTGTCCACGCCTACTACACGCGAATTATTTGTAGAGCCGACTGCTACCATTAGTTCGTCGAGGCCGATCACCCGTCACTCCCACGCTTTGTTTTGCATTTCGCAATGCTGTTGCGGCTGACCCTCTGACCCGCGTCCAGCGATACACCACTCAAACTGTTCGCAAGTTGACTCACCACACACACGATTCTTTCTGCACTCCATTATTCAGCTCAACAAGGCATGGTCTTGCGCTGCATCGGCTCGGCACCGACTCCGGTGGTCAGCCATGTACATGCACTTTTGCAGTGGGCAACCGGCGCCTCGGAGGGATGAATTGTGGCTTCCGGTGCCTTTTAGCCGAGCCGCATGTCCATGGAGCCTCAGCGAACCTGCATATCTGACGGGAAGAAGTCGTGATTTTGCGGACCCGCTTTCCACAACCGTGGGAGGCAGTATCCATCCTAGATCGTCCGAGACGACACGGACCAGCATGGATCTAATTGACTAATTCCACCTTTCGTTCCTGATATCTCGTTGCACTTGTGCGTATTTGTTCTACTCACTTAGTTGCGTGCTCCTGGTATCTTTTTGATACCCTAGCTGTCTTATCGTTACTCAGCATGTGCAACATTCTGAGCACACGACCACGCAAGGCGATCAATGTCGTCTACCGTAGAGCATCAACAAAGCAAACGACGGGACCGAAAGACATGGACCAACATCGTGTATAGTAAGCTCATATTACAAACAAGAATGATGATGCCATGCATTCACCCCGCTCGCATGCTTATCGATAGACTTCCCCCTCCAAACCACTACACAACTTCGCAACGCACTCACCACCTAGCTGGAACTTCAAGTATTCAAACGTTATTCCGTGACCCAGTTCACTTCCAACTCGATACCCAAACATGCCTCATGCAACCGCAACTGTAAACGGAATCGTAGTGGCCGAAACTGACACCTACGAAGTCGTTGACGGGAACATCTACGTACTATATTCTCTTCAGGTATCCTTGCATAGATCCTAACACACCCCAGTTTCCACCCAACACCATCAAAAGCAACCATTTTACTCCCACTGACACCAAGACACATTGTCCTTATAAAGGCGACGCAAGCTACTACACCGTCACAACCAACAAGACCGAAGTAAAGGATGCAGCTTGGTACTACCCGGAGCCATTGGACAGCATGAAGCGGATCAAGGGGTATGTTGCATTCTACAAAGGGAAGGCTGAAGTGAAGAGCGAGTGAGGGAGTGTTGTCTCGAAAGTGCAAGAAGTGCAAGATGTGAATGTGGGTATATTCAGTATCGATTGAAGTCCCATAAGGAAAATGCAGATATCCCTTTCTAGTAACGCCGGTAAATGCTCATAATCTTCATGACAGTCGAGTCCAACATTGCCTCGATCATGCATCGACGGCCATCATCATCGTGTCGTCGCCATCGATACCTACAGCAGGTGGCTCGATCATAACACCACGTCCTCTTCCTTCAAGCAGTTCTCTCCGTACTTCGGCGCTAATGCTCCTGTGGCCTCTCGTGAGCAGCAAGTCTAGCAGCGCCTCTCTTTGGTCCTCGGTAATGTCGTTCCTGTATCTTTGCGCAAAAGCAAGCAGGCACTGATGCCAGATGACGGGCAGTTTGCCTGTGTTGCCCAGGTCGCCTGCTACCGACTCGGTGTCCATGGCGTCGGCGCTGCTTGCACCTACGCCTCGGAAGCGCAGGAAGTGGAAGACGAGCGCGTCGATGACCTTGAAAGGCAGGGCGTACTTCTTCTCGAGAAGTGTCTTGATGAAGATGTTGCAGGGGCCAGCGGCATCCGGGTCCGAAGACATTTGCTCGGCAGCGATTTCGCAGAGACGGTGGAGGGCGGCGGCAGAGTGTAGGACGGGCACGGAAATCTTGGCTACGACCGAAGCTACAATGACGGCGTCGCGCTGTGTGCAGGAGACATCTGTGAGCATAGGGAATACGACGCCCTTGAAGAATGCGCTGGGCTTGTAAAGCGCCTTCTTCAGTGCATTGTACAGATGCACGTTCAACTTGTGTGTTTCCCGGATGTTCTGTTGTACCAGAGGTAGCAGTACGGTGTTGAGGAAGATTTGGGCGGTTTGCGGCTTCGCGGAGATGAAGATTCGGGTGGCCGCAAAGGTAGCATTGGGTGTCCAATCGTCAGGACGTGTGATGGCGACGAGGGTTTCCCAGGCGGGAATCGTGGGCAGGATCTTGAAGGGCTTGGGCAACTTGCCGCTCTTGTAGCGGCTCAAGATCAAGCCAATCTTTGAGTATACTGTGCAAGCTTAGTAGGGTTACTAGGTTAACCAACGAGGGTGCTGTACCTTCGACAACCTTGGCAGGTAGTTCAATCGCGTCTTCTGGAGCACCACCGCCTTGAATCTCTGGTTGCTGTACTTCGCCTCCAGCTTCATGTGCAGCGATCTTCTCGAGAATAAGCGCCGCCAGATCTGTGCCTGGTCCAGATTGTTGCGCCTCCTCGCCGGGCCACACGATAGGGTTGTCATCTGTTGGTATGAACTTGTTCCACGCCGCTAGGTCGTTCGCATCGATCTCAACCTCCTCCACCTCCTCATCGTCGTCGCCCCAGGCCTCGTCGTCGTCGTCTTCGGCTTGGACCAAATCCTCCCCTGGCATGTCATCCTCGCCCATGCGTGTCTCGAAGTCAAAGGCTGGGTTGGCTTCTTGCGGTCTTCGGGCCTTGTTCTCCCTCGCATCCTCCTCTTCCAGCTCTCTTCCAATTTCCAGGATTTTGCGCGAGCTCTTGGAGTCTACATACTTCTGCTCGTCGTCTTCCTTGTCGCTCTTGTTTCGCTTTTGTCGCTTCGGCGCCTTGTTCTTCCATGGGTCTGAGGGCGCATATTCTTCGGCTAGAGGGTTGTGTCGCTGGTCACGCACACCGGGCGATTTGGGCGCTTTCGGCATCGTGGGTGTGTGATCGCAAAGAGTGACGTGTGTAAAGCGTAATGACTTGGCCTAAGTATTCGTGAACTTGTGCTGTTCCGGGAAAACGTGTACCGAGCGTCGCAGCAGTAAAAAAAAAGTTGGACAAAGTCAGAATCCAGACACCCCACTAAATTTTGATTCCGCGCGGGTGCATTCGCGTACCAAACGGCCCGCCGTAGAAGCTGCATGTCTAGGGCCTGCCGTCGCGCCTTCCATCAACACAGCTGTCGCGCCTTCCCCAGCAGCTGCACGATCCCTCAGAATGGCTGACTCACACCCCCCTTCGCGCTCCAACACGCCCACACTTGTGCCCCCGATGCGGCGACCACTCGAAGGCGACAATGCGCCTGCCGTCTCTTCGCCGCTCAACCCCAATCCCGATGCGGCAGCCCGTGCCAGACCGAAAGCTCCAGCGCGCGAGCAGAGAGAAAAGCGCGAGACGATCAAGAAACGTGAAGCTTCAGCGAGCACAAGACAGAGCACCCCAAATGCAAAGTCGTCCAAGAAGGAGCGCCCCTCGGCGGACTCGCCCATGCGATACTCCATTCCTGAGCCCAGACCATCCGACTATGAAGCGCCCAAAGACAGCACTCTGCTCTCCCACGAGCCAAATCCTATGTATGCGCCTGATGGAGTCACCGAGTTGAAGAAGCCGCACGATATTGCCTGGAATAAGAAGGGCTACAAGTACACGCACTGCGTCGCTGACCCGCTATTCCGCCACAAACAGTACTACAGACAGAGCGATTCTAGGCCCTACGGACCGAGGATGAGCCACGAAGACTGCGACAGGTGGTTCCATTTCGACAACAGCGCAACTATCGTATCTCAAGAGAAGGGCTGGCGCATGGGACGTGGCAATGTGGTCGCGAGAGAAGGCAGGATATACTACGAGGTCAAGGTGCTACGAGGCATACCCGTACATGGTCCCAAGGATCCCATCGACCCCAAGACGGGAGAGACAAAGCCTGGTCCCCACGTGAGGATGGGTTGGGCAAGGCGGGAGGCGCCTTTGGACGGACCCGTGGGCTTCGATGGCTACAGCTACGGCATCACCGACGCCCGCTTCGAAGCCCAACACCGATCGCGCGCCTCCAAGATCTTCAAACCACTCCCCAAGAACGCAAAGAGCAAGCACATGAAGGCTAGACCCCCACATGGCAAGCCAATGCCTGTTGAGTATGTTACAGATCAGCACGTTCAAGAAGGTGATGTCATTGGCCTTGAGATTCAGCTACCGTCGCTATCAATGCATCGCAAAGTCGTCGAGGGCATCTACAACCCGGCTGTGGATCTGGGAGATGGCTTCGACACTGTCAGCAACCAAGATCCCTTCGACAGGCCCATCGACATCATCCGCGATCGCATACCCGTGCCCTACAAAGGCAACTTTTACTTCGAGCAGCTCGACTACCAGGTCACCAAGATGGTCGAGGCTTACCACGACCGCGGCCCAGTACCCAAGATACATCCCTCACCAAACCACGAAGATGTCAGTGTACGATCGCTGCCACACTCGCACATCAAGGTCTACAAGAACGGTGAGGAGGTTGGAATCGCTTTTGAGAACCTCCTAGCCTTCCTCCCGCCCGCCAGTATACCATCAGTCGAGGCCATCAAGGCCGGCGCAAGGACAGGTTTCGACGACGGCATGGTAGGATACCTGCCAGCCATTTCACTATTCAATGGTGGTGTTGCGCAGGTCAACTTCGGCCCCGACTTCTGGTGCCCTCCAGAAGAGATGGCCAAGCAGCGCGAGAAGGATACAGACATGGTCGATGGTGGTACAACCGAGCAGCAGATTCCGGACGGTCGCAAACTACGGGCTATTGGTGAGCGTTACAAGGAACAGATTGCAGAAGATGTTGTTTGGGACATTATCGACGAGGTCGACTTCTTCACCCAGGACGGCGGATGGGAGTACAAGGGCGAGGCTCCTCAGGACGTGGCAGGCAAATCTACGCCCAGGGCTCGTGGTTTTGCGAATGCGGACGAGAACATCGGTGTCGAAGTGGCAAAGCGGTACTAACGAAGACAAAGAGTCGTTTTGATGTTGAGTGGATTATGATCATAGCGAGGCGTATAGGTATACCCCTTATCAATATTTGATATGCATCTCACTTTGCAACATCTCAGACTACCAAAAAAAAAGATTCCGCACCAATAGTATTCCCCTAGTATTTTGCCTTGAGCGATCTGGCAGGCAACAGCCCTCTCCGATCATTGAGTGGCTTCTTTCTATACCAGAAGTACCACTGAGAAGGGATTCCCCGTCCAAGCAATCCACAGTAGAAAAATCTCACGCCCTACGCCCTACAGCTTACATGATCTACGTATACAAAGACTCGCGACAATTCCGTCCATAGACAACGTCCTTACCCAATATGGCAATTCGCGCGGAATTAGCGACATCGGACATTCGCATTTTAGCGTCACAAACCTAACAGTTGGAGCTAACACTGCATATATCTCTTGTACACGACGTTCGATCTCCAGACTCATAGACTATAGATCATACGATTACTACATTTATCTTCCCCGTGATTAGTTCAGCATTATTAGTTCTGCCTTACTACCCCACAATGGATTCTTCACAATTTCGAGACGCGGCGAAAGGTGCCATTGATGAGAGTAGGTTACTTCTGTCGTGTGTAAGAGCATCTACTAACGCTGTACAAGTCGCTAAGTACTACGACACCCTGGAAGAACGACCAGTTCTGCCTTCCGTCAAGCCAGGCTACCTCCGCCCACTCCTTCCATCATCCACCCCCGAAGAAGGCGAATCATGGGAAACCATTCAAGCAGATATCGACCGCGTCATCATGCCAGGTCTCACCCACTGGCAAAGTCCCAAATTCATGGCTTTCTTTCCTTGTAACTCATCTTTCGAAGCCATGATCGGCGACATGTACAGCGGTGCTTTCAACGCCGCAGCGTTCAACTGGATCTGCTCACCCGCCATCACCGAACTCGAAACCGTAGTCATGGACTGGGTAGCTAAGCTCATCGCCCTGCCAAAGGAATTCTTGAGCGATGGCGAGGGTGGAGGTATCATCCAAGGCACAGCCAGTGAAGTCGTGTTAACAGCCCTCGTTGCCGCCCGCGAACGCCTCATCCGCCGTAAGCTCGGCGATATGCCCGAAGGCGAAGAACGCATGGACAAGGCGGCGGACATTCGTGGGAAACTCGTTGCACTAGGTTCTGAACATGCACACTCTTCCACTCAAAAGGCTGCGGTCATAGCTGGAACGAGGTACCGCAGTGTCCCTGCGTCAAAGGAGTCCAATTTCAGCGTCACCGCCTCTGCTCTCCGCAAAACGATCGAAGAGTGTCGTGCGAAGGGTCTGGAGCCATTCTACTTTACCATAACCATTGGTAGCACGGGAACTTGCGCCACCGACGACCTGGAGGGTATCGCCGCACTTGCCAAGGAGTTCCCTGATCTATGGATCCACGTCGATGCCGCATATGCCGGTTCCGCTCTTGTGTGCCCAGAATACCAACATCTATGCACGCCCCTCGCGTCCTTTGACTCTTTCAACTTCAACTTGCACAAATGGTTACTTGTCAACTTTGATTGCTCAGCTTTCTTCGTAAAGAAGCGGAGAGATCTCATGGATACGTACAGTATCACGCCTAGCTACCTCCGCAACCCTCACTCAGAGTCAGGCCTTGTCACCGACTACAGAGACTGGCAAATTCCGTTGGGTCGTCGATTCAGGAGTTTGAAGGTGTGGTTCGTGCTCAGGAGCTACGGAGTCAATGGATTACGAGCATTTATTCGCAAACATGTCAAGCTTGGAGAGTACTTCCACGACTTGTTGCTGCAGAAGCCGGAGATGTTTAGTGTGACTACGAAACCGGCATTTGGTCTTGTGACTTTCCAGGTCAAGCCAAAGATGGGGTCGTCGGCCGCAGCGGCGGCGAATCAGGCTGATCCGACGCATGAAGCCCTGCAAAATGACTTCCATGCTGATGCCGAGGCGCAGTATAGAGAAATGGTCAACCAGAGAACGAAGGAAGTTTATGAGAAGGTCAACGCCAAGGGAGATTTCTTCTTGACAAGCACCATTGTGGGTGGCCAGTATGTCATCAGGGTTGTCAGTGCAACTTTGAAGAGCGAGGAGAAGTGGATGAAGCAGTTGTTTGATGAGCTGATAGAGGTCGCAGAAGAAAAGGGCGATGTTAAGGCTGCCTGATTGTTACGTAGCATTCAAGACGACTGCGGACGGTATTCTAGACTTTTATGTTCTTCTCAATCGCGCCCGAGGTATTCATCTTCACTGTCACTCTACATGTGCGCTCGCCACCCAGCTCCACCTGCTCCTCTCCTGTCTTCACCACTTCCCTTCACGACGCAACCCTTCAATGCTCAAAACATCGTCAGCTACTAGCATAACTGGTGCTAGAGAAGGTCCAAGCTCAAGATATTTCTCTCTCGCCTGCTCCCCTTCCCTCTCTTTCTTTCCTCCACGGCACAACTACACTCAGCACCTCCTCGTACACCTCATCATATAGTTACTGTTGCGCAACACATGGCTTAGCCATTGCCGGAATTCTGAGGCTATGTTTGCGGTGCTGTTGTCGAGAGTTAAGGAATGAGTAGCACGGGAACAGATGAAAAGAGATGAATGGGGCACAGAGATTGAGCGATTACTAGTCTAATCTCAATATTCGCACTGCGTTACCACCAAGAACATCTTGTGCCTTTTTGTCGTCTGTGGAGAATGCTTTTGAGATAGCTCCGTAGTTCGCATTCACACTATGCCATTCTTTCGCGTCCTCTTCGAGTGGCGGGAAGAACGGATGATCAGTACCTACTATTGTTAGCTTCAAATTCACGCTCTGTAGCATATGTACTTACCAAACAACAATCGATCAGATCCAGATGCAGCGACTGCTGCTCCAAGGCCTACTTCCGAGTAAATGACAGCATCCAGATAGATGTTCGTCTTCAAGATGTCCCAAACATCCCTCCTTTTCTGCGTCTTGCCATGCTTCTTCAGATGCCCATCATGCAAGATGCAAGACTCGATACGGCCAGCCAAGAACGGTAATGTACCTCCAGAATGCGCCAACAGTACGCTCAACTTTGTGAATCGATCCCAGACCCCGCTCAACAGCATCCTGCTCACTGCGATGGTCGTCTCCAAGGGGAAGCCGAGTGCGAGTGGTAGTACGTGTCCGTATTCGCTCGCTCGGGGTCCGTAGACAGATGTAGGTAGGCCGTAGTGTGGGTGGAGGAATATAAGTTGTTGGTGTTTCTCCAGTGCTGCGTAGACAGGGTCGAGGTTCTCATCGTCTAGACCTTGTCCAAGACCAGAAGTTCCCATAATGACACCACGTGCATACTTGAGTGTGCTCAGCCTTTCGATCTCGGCAGTTATGACTTCGGGCGATGCGGAGAGTGGGAGGGTGCCGAAGAAGTACAATCGGCCGGGGTACTGTGAGCACTGGTCGTTGACATCGTCGTTGATCTTCTTCGCTGCGTCTCCAGCTTCTTCCGCAGGAAGGAAGTCAAGCCATGGGTTTGCCAATGAGATGACTGACTTGTCAATCTTGTGCAGGTCCATGAAGGCTATCTTCTCCTTGATCTCGTAGTACTCTGAACCAATCGGACGGCCTCGTGAGGTTGAAGGTGTTGAAGGGTCATCTTCGCCTGGCAGGATGATGAGACGTGCCGAGTCTGGTGCATCGGGGAATGTTCGAACGTATGGTACGGTCGTTCGCGAACGCAAGAGGTCCATGTATTTAGGAGGGTAAACATGGGTGTGTATGTCGACGATCGTCATGCTGGCTAATTGGGACGCGTTCTACGCGTCAAATTCTATTATTGGATCTTGCTGCGACAGTATGTGAGTGCCTCGAGCGCGATATTGACAATTTGAAGAAGATACCAGTCACAGCAGACTGTTCAGACTGGAAGTTGAGACGTATTGTGAGTGTTTAGACCCTGGTGGGGTAGCTTCGGACTGCCCCACCTACACGGCGTCCAACATCCCACCTTCCCCAAGTGGCAAGAAGCTACGGAGAAAGTAGTTCAGCCGCCAACGGAGATGCCCGCGGCTAAGATATGACATTTTGGTATGTGAGAATGTTTGTTACGTACGGCGTTCTGAAGCGGGTCGTCAACAATACCTCAGCCCATCAGTGTAACCCATCAGGCACCAGTCCTCAAGAAGACGTTTGGTGGCTTGTCCCAGGTCTTGAACTCCTCATCGACCTCCCACTCAATATCTCCTGTACCCTCATCTTTGAACCCTAACCTCCTGTAAACGGCTCTCCCCATAGCACTACCCTCTGTTGTGCACTCCAAGTTACCCCTCTTCTTTGCCTCTGCAAGGCCGGCCTCGACCAGCTTGGTAGCAATGCCGCGACGCGAATATGCTGGGTCAACAGCACAGATATCCAAGGTGAAGATAGCTGGAGGATTGCGGTCTGATTTCTCGACCTCGCGCATGTACGCGATGCGTCGTTTCCATAACGAATTGAACATCTGTGTTGCAAAGCGTTGGTTCTTTTCATCGTAGTCGACAAGAGCAGCAGTCATATCGCTGGAAAAGGGATCGCCGTAGCCTTCAACAAAGGACAACTGCTTCCAGATGGCCATGCCAACGACTCGTCTTTCGCCCTGCTTGTCTGGTTCAGGCAGAGTGGCTTTGAGATAGATGGCGTTGGGTTGTCCGTCTTTGTTGGTGGTAGTGGATTGCCATCGCTTCATCAAGGTTTGGGCGTGCTTCTTCTGTCCCTCGTCTGTGTCCCAGCCTGGTGTCATCAGCCGCCATACAGCATCTTTCGCCTGATGACCAAAGGCTTCGGAAAGACAGTGCTGTCCTTGCCTAAAATCTTGCTCGGTCTCGAAAGGCGCTATTATTACGTCGTTGTTGTTGGCCATGGTGGAGGTGGTATAGATGGTCTTGTGGGTGTGGGAATGCTTTACGTGGAGTATGTTGGGGTAAGCGGGCAAGTTTATGTATGAAGTTGTTAGTTTCGAGTGACTAAAGGACCCATACGATGACATAGCCTTAAGCCAGTCATGATTGCCTGACAGTTGCCTGGTCCTTGGCGCGGCGTTCCAACGTAAAGCCGTGGTTTGATGGATAAGATGAACTTTGGATAATCATGTCCTCGAGGGAGTGATTATGTGAGGTGGATATACTTCAAGACCATGGACTCCTTGAGTAAGGTGCCGAACGTAGCGACAAGGCTGCACTTATCTAGATTCACAAAACGAGGAGGTTGCGAGGACATTTCAGATGCAATGGTAGAATCACCGGCCCGCCTAATCGGAAACACAGTCAGATGCATGTGGTGACACAGGAGGGTGCAGAGAGGGTTGTGATGGCAGGCGACGGCTAGCGTGGCGTAAATCAATTAGCAGGGATGACGCGCTCGCGCCTGCGACACGCTTTCGCGTTCTCCCTAGACACTTTCCATCCACTCCACCAACAACAAACACACATCCACCACCCGTCACAGATCACGCTCCAAGGCGTCATATCTGCCGGTCACATACTCAAAATGCCAGGCGCCGTAACCAAAGCACCGGCGAAACGCGCCCTTACCGAAACATCGAGCACCCGCGCAAATGTACAGGCTTCGCCCCACTCATCAAAGAAGCTGAAGATCCAGAATGGCAACGAGAGGAGTAGACCACCACAGAAGACTGTCAATGGCTCCTTCAACGCGAGCCAGGTGGGCCCAAGCGAGTTTGAGGAGACGTTGGAGAAGATGACGCAGGACATGGAGACGTTGAAGAAAGACAACACAGAGAAGGACCAACAATGGCGGCGGCCTCCCTTGCCAGAGGACTTCAACGAGATGACACAAAATCTCGTCTTCCAACAGATTGAGGCTGAAGAAGGCGTACTTAATGGTGGCAAGACGACGGTCAAGCTCTTTGGTGTAACCGAGGTGAGCAACATACAGACGGCATATGTGACCTTGAACTAATTATATATCACAGACTGGCCACTCCGTTCTTATCCACGTTACCGGTTTCCAACATTACTTCTACGTCGCCGCGCCACTCAACTTCCACAAAGAAGACTGCGAGCCGTACAAGGTGTTTCTGGAGAGCGAATGCCAGAAGAATTTCAACCAGCACTCAGCCGTCATCGCGTCAGTACAGATGTGTATGAGGGAGAACATATTGCGCTTTCAGGGTAACCAGAAGAGCCCATATCTTAAGATCACTGTCACAGACCCGAAAATGATCAACCGCGTCCGAATGATGGTGCAAAAAGGCAATGCTAATTACAAGCGACTCTGGCCGGCCAGAGAGGATGGTATCCTTACTTTCGACAACATCGCCTACGTGCTACGTTTCATGATTGACACCAAGGTACGTCATTTTGACAACTAGGTTGTGGCGTCACTGACATTCCAGGTCGCCGGTATGTGCTGGGTCGAAGTACCAGCCGGAAAATACAGGATGATCAGCCCTCGCGATCGACACTCCAATTGTCAGATTGAGGCACAGTTACACTACAGTGATCTCATCGCCCACCAGGCTGAAGGTGAATGGGCCAAGCTTGCCCCTCTCCGCATCCTCTCTTTCGATATCGAGTGCGCTGGCCGTAAAGGTGTCTTTCCGGAGGCGAACGTCGACCCCGTTATTCAGATCGCAAACGTCGTTACAAGATACGGAGAGCAGAAACCCTTCGTCAGGAACGTCTTCTGTCTAGACACTGTCAGCCCTATTGTTGCGACACAGGTCTTGTCTTTCCAGGATGAGGGCGAGATGCTGATGAAGTGGCGAGACTTCGTCGAGGAGGTCGACCCAGATGTTATCATCGGTTACAACATCAACAACTTCGACTTTCCGTATTTGCTCGATCGTGCAAAACACCTCAAACTACAGAGATTCCCGTATTGGTCTCGACTGAAGACTGTACAGTCCAAGGTAGAGACCTCCAATTTCTCCAGTAAACAGCTGGGGAACCGAGACACGAAGACGACCAACACCAATGGCCGTCTACAACTCGACTTGTTGCAACTCATCCAGCGAGATCATCAGCTGCGAAGTTATACACTCAACTCGGTGTGCGCTCACTTCCTCAAAGAGCAAAAAGAAGATGTACACCACAGTATGATCACAGAACTGTTCAACGGCGACTCCAATTCCCGGCGACGATTGGCTGTATACTGTTTGAAGGATGCCTATCTACCACAGCGACTGCTTGACAAGCTCATGTGCCTGGTAAACTACACGGAAATGGCTCGTGTCACGGGTGTGCCTTTCAACTACCTTCTTGCCAGAGGACAACAAGTTCGCTTCATCAGCCAATTGTTCCGTAAAGCCCTTGAGCATCAACTCATCGTTCCGGATCTCCCAAACCAAGGCGACAGCGGTGACCAGTACGAAGGTGCGACTGTCATTGAGCCCAAGCGTGGCTACTATAAGGAACCCGTCGCAACTCTTGATTTTGCTTCGCTTTATCCCAGTATCATGCAGGCTCACAATCTTTGCTATACAACCTGGCTCGACAGGCAGACAGTGGAGAAGCTCAAAATGAAGAAGGATGAGGATTACATTGTCACTCCGAACGGCGACATGTTTTGCACATCAAAGACACGTAAGGGACTCTTGACAGAGATTCTAGAGGAATTACTCGGTGCGCGTAAGAGGGCGAAGAAAGAGCTGGCGGTCGAGACCGACCCCTTCAAGAAGGCTGTGCTGAACGGTCGTCAGTTGGCTTTGAAAGTCAGCGCCAACTCGGTTTACGGATTGACGGGTGCCACTAACGGAAAGCTGCCATGTCTTGCTATCGCAAGTAGTACCACAAGTTTCGGTCGTCAGATGATTGAAAAGACCAAAGCCGAGGTAGAGGCAAAGTACACCATCGCAAATGGATATACACACGATGCCGAGGTCATTTACGGTGACACCGATTCCGTCATGGTCAAGTTCGGTACCTCAGAGCTAGCAGAAGCTATGAAGTTGGGCGAGGAAGCTGCGATTTATGTGTCTTCGAAGTTCATCAAGCCCATCAAACTGGAGTTTGAAAAGGTCTACTTCCCCTACCTGCTCATCAACAAGAAACGTTACGCGGGTCTGTACTGGACCAATCCAAACAAGTGGGACAAGATGGACACCAAGGGTATCGAAACAGTTCGTCGTGACAATTGCCGTCTGGTTCAGACTGTCATTGAAACTTCCTTGCGCATGCTGTTGATCGACCAGGATCCGGAAGGTGCTCAAGAGTAAGTTATTCCACCACTCTAATTGCTCACATACTAACGTCAAAACAGGTTCGTCAAGGAGACTATTGCAGACCTTCTGCAGAATAAGGTGGATATGTCCAACCTTGTGATCACCAAAGCCCTTACCAAGCAAGAAAACAAAGATGGAACAGGTGGCTATGCAAACAAACAAGCACACGTTGAACTTGCAGAACGTATGAAGAAGCGCGATGCGGGTTCAGCGCCTGCTCTGGGTGATCGTGTCGCCTACGTCATGGTCAGAGCCGCCACGGGTGCGAAGAACTTCGAGAAGTCTGAAGATCCTCTCTTTGTTCTTGAGAACAACTTACCTATCGATACGCGTTACTATCTGGACAACCAACTCGCGAAACCACTCGGCAGAATTTTCGAGCCTATCCTAGGTGAGAAGAAGGCAGCATCGCTACTCACTGGTGATCACACGCGTTCCATCACCGTGGCGGCACCCACCATGGGTGGTTTGATGAAGTTCGCAAAGAAGACGCAAACATGCATGGGATGTAAGAAGCCGCTGACCGCTGCATATGAGAAAGATGGTGCCGTTTGTGAGAACTGTCGGCCTCGCATCGGCGAGCTGTACACAAAGACGCTGAGCAAAGTCAGTGAACTTGAGGTTCGCTTTTCACGCCTTTGGACGCAGTGTCAGCGATGTCAAGGCAGTGTTCACTGCGAGGTCATCTGCGCGTCGAAGGATTGCCCAATCTTCTACATGCGCATGAAGGCGAGGAAAGACGTTGAAGATGCAGGCAAAGAGTTGGTGCGTTTCGACAAGGACGCGGCGCTATGGTAATCAAACAGTGTCTCACTCCTATCATGTAATTAACACGCGGTGTTTTGGGCGTTATGATGGCATGGGATATCCAACTGTATAAAATGGAGGCCAACTCAGTTTGTTCAAGGTGCGTAGCGATATATGCATGTAAACTCTTAATGAATGTTGTTGCATCATGTATTGATATCTAGTGGTTGTGTCTTCTGGAGACCGTAACTACAACCACCTTTGACAACATCTTCAGCTCCTTGATAGCGTGATCACCGTACACGGCGATCTGATTTCTTCTAGACGTCTTAGCAGTTTCCAGCATCTATATAATGCCAACCATCTCCACAATACACTCAACATCTCTTCCGACGAAAACAGGCTACCAACCATTCGTTCCACATTGCCACAACATATCGTAAACGCTGAGGAGCTGGCTTCATCAACGCATCAGCGTCATATCCTGTTGATATCCTTCGCCAACCTTTCCCCGTCAAAGTGCTCAATCCTCGTCGATCTCATGGCTCACGTTGCCCTCTAGCCCAACAACAAAATCTTGGAAACTCTTCAGGAAAGTCTGAAACAGCATGATATCTTTCTGCTGTCCCAGTAGCTTCGTCACGACATCCTTGATTTCCGTGTGTACCATATCTTCGACTATGCACTGAGTTGCGAAAGCGGTATAGGCAGAGGTGTAAGCATTGTTTTGGGCGACCTAGAGGTTTGTGAGCATGATCTGGTGGGCGCGAAGTGTGGTGAGGACGTCGGTTGTGAACTTGGCTCTGGGTGTCGAGGATAATGAGGTCTTGATCGATAGAGATGGAGAGGATATAGGTCCCGCGGTCGGATGGAGTGTTGACCTGCTGTATTGGAGGTTGGACATGATGGTAGTTGCTGTTGGAGAGGAAGATTAGCTTGGAGATCTGAAGCAATACTTTGAAGAAGGAAAAGCGCAATCGAGGTTGCTGAGGTGTTTCAATTGGTTCCCGTGGCTGAGCTTGAGGAGAGAAGTTGCATGTTGTGATTGGTGAAGTGTAAAGTGAAAGAGTAACGAACACAACGTTCCTGGATCCACATAGTATGACCGGAAGCGTTCGCTCTCACTGAAACATGTATGTTCACTCCGTTGCCTTGTACTAACTAGGTACTGCTGGATGTACCTGCCTAGGTATCCAATGCAACTAACAACAAAGTAGGAGGCAATCCACTTTTTTCCTTCTTCATTCCCTATCTCAACATTGATGAACGAGCTCGACTTGTGTCGAGAGGTCCGGTGCATTCTGGATGTGATTACAGGGGTAACGATTACCCAATATATTATTGCGCTTCCAACATCTCTCCAGAGCATTCTTGAGGATACGATCTGAGCGAGACAGATTACCCATATCAAGTTTCATGAACGCATTCTCGAGACATGCTATACCATGCGAGAATATACGGACATCTAACCTTGTCGACCGCAACAAAAGTCTTCTAAGCTGGAGCAACGCGCAATAAAGCAACCCCTTTAGCCATCGCTGTAAAGCCATCTCTATAGAAGAAGATGCTGAGGAGCTTATCTCGGTTCGTTCTGCTCTCCACTTTGATTGTTGCAAGTTTTTAATGTGTAGGCTTTCTTTTGAAACATTCAAGATGCTTGTACGACAGGCGGAGAAAAATGTCACGATGTCAGTCTGGTGTTGAGATTCCAGCCGAACGACCCCACCATTAGCCTTATCGCGCTCGTGTACACCTTCTGTCTTCGGCAACAACCCCGCCAACAATACCCAGCCATCCATCATGGCTGAGCTACGGAGATGGCCGCTGGCACCGCACCTATCGCCTGATCTTGGTGCCTTCTTTTCTAGCACGCGTCTGTCTCTTTAGTAGCCGTTCCCCTGCATCACACAGGTTCAACCCTAAGCAACGCGTTGACGAGTAACGCCATGGCCAATATCAAAGTAGACTCGGCTGTCTCCCAGGATGACCTGGAGATTCCGGTATTCAATGTCAAACCGTAGATCTTGGTTAGCATCTAACAACGCGCAGCTCATCGACTTCTCTGCCTTTCTCTCTGGTGATGCCAACGCGAAGAAGCAAACTGCCGACGCCGTCCTAAAAGGCTTCCAAAATGCGGGCTTTGTCTACCTCAAGAATCATGGCATATCTCCTTCGACCGTATCCACCGTATTCTCCCACTCGGCCAAATTCTTCGCACGGCCGAAAGAGCAGAAAGATAAGTTGGCATGGTACTCTGCCGCCGCCAACCGCGGCTACGTAACACAAGGGCGAGAGAAGCTGGTGGTGCTGGAACAGACTGGTACAGAGGCGGAGATGCGCGCTTTGGTGCCAGACCTGAAGGAGAGCATGGAAATTGGACGCGATGACCAGCCCGAAACACCCAACATGTGGCCAAGCGGAGACGACGAGGCGAAGGAGTTTAAGGATCAGATGATGGGCTTCTTTGAGACATGCAAAAGCCTCCACATGCAAGTCATGCGCGCTATTGCAATGGGCATGGGCATTGAGGAGACTTGGTTTGATGGCTTCACAGATGCGGGCGACAACACATTGCGCTTGTTGCACTACCCTGGTGTATCTAAGAGCATCTTCAAGAGGAACGATGGGCAACTGCAAGTCCGCGCAGGAGAGCACAGCGACTACGGTATGGCGACCGACTTGAGACACTAGATGAAGGGAGCGACTGACATAATAACAGGTTCTATAACCCTCCTCTTCCAGGACGCACGTGGTGGCCTCCAAGTCCGCTCACCAAAAGGCACATTCGTCAATGCCACCCCTATTGAAGGTACCATAGTAATCAACGCTGGCGACCTGTTAGCACGCTGGTCGAACGATACTATCAAGTCGACGTTGCACCGTGTCGTGGAGCCGCCACCAAAACCAGAAGATGCAGACAAGGATGAATACCCACCCAGATACTCAATAGCCTACTTTTGCAACCCGAACTACGAGCGCAAGATCGAAGCTATCCCAGGAACACACGAGAAGGAAGGAAGGAAGTACGGGGACGTCATGAGTGGAGACTATTTGATCCAGCGGTTGACGGCGACATATTGAGGAAAAGATGCAATATTGAAATCTTCGCATATGCTGGTAGGTATACTGGTCGGCTTAACTACTACAGTAGTGATTGTAAATCTTGCATCAACTTAAAGATGAACTCAGGTATATCCTAACACTTCATTCCAACTCGAGCGTCAAATATCCACCAGTTTAACCGAATACAAATCTTCTCACTCCTTGTGCAGCATGAAAATTTACCGTATGTCACGAACCACATTGTCATGAGAAGAATGTTGGCGTGTTTATTCGTGAGATACTCTGACAGCTTTAATATATGCAAGGGTCTCTGCCTCCTTTCCCAGACACATCTACGGCATGAGCGCGTTGATATCTTGTCTTGATGGGTCTTCCAACAATTGATGCTCGATTGGTTGTTGAACAGGCAGGACTCTCCGTCCGTCGAACAAATGGATGTTTTGAATATAGGCTTGACTTTGCAAAGATCGATCCTAGCAATCGATTCGGTAGAATCTTCCACGTGTAGTCACCAAGCTGCGCTGTGAAGAAGGAAGTAAAGGCCCCTACAGTGTCCGCAGGTGATTGTTTGCGAAAGGAGCTGATGCTGTAAGCCAGCTCTTCTATCTGTTCTCTACCTGTTGTTCCTTGTGATCCTTGATTTGCATTTCCATTGATACTTTGACTTAGCGCCGAGGATTGAGGAAGAAGACGAACACACGTTTTGAACAAGACTCGCTAGTAGCCATGCATAGCTGTCACTACTCTACTACAAAGCACCAAGTCGAGTCCCAGCCTGTAGTAGCAAGCTTGTAACACCACCCTCTATCGAGTCTAGCGGCGCAACAAGAGCCATTTGACTCCAGCTAAACAGCGTGTTACGTCCCCCAAACACGAATACTTCGAAACGTCCCACGAATGTATCATTAGCCCATACGCGACTACCATTAACCACGTCCGTTTCTATACGCAATGTAGCTGGAAGTGTGATAGGTACTGGCTCGTGGGAAGATGACGACTGGTTCGTCCATATGCGACCTGGATGGCCAAGATCGAAGCCATCGCTAGGAGACACGGAACGTAGAGGATATTCGAAGCCATCCGCAGTGGTGAACGTAATTGTTTCGATGCTACCACTAGACTCGTTGGAAGATTTGCTTAGAGACAGCGAAGTATCGGGCCCAGAGAGGGTGAATGGCGAGGATATCTCCAGGGTAAGCGTGTATGGTGGACCATACGATCCGAAGTCTAGCGGCGCAGTGCTGTTGTTTAAAGAAGTCTTCCATGATAGCAGCTTTGGGCTTTTCATGTCCACTTGCGCGCTGTGGAAATGTCGATCCAAATTTTGTCCTGGAGCTTTGGCTGCCTGATCAGTCATGAGTTAGTCATAAGGTCAAAGTGCATCGCTTTCACTCTCCGCTGTACATACCAGGAACGCGACGCTTTCTGATAAGTCGCCCGAGGCAATCTTTGTACCCCGCGTGCCAGCCCAAGCACGCGCCGCCATGACGGGTATGCCCTCGCGCATCGCGTAGTAGGCTTCAAGCTGGGTAGTCGCATCCGCGCCATTATCGTTCCAGGCCGCAAGGATAGCACCCTTGTTACCGCTAGCACTGGGTTGTAGCTGTTCTGTAGTATTGACTGGATTGTAAAGAGACGGCACCCACTGCCAGCCGGGAATGTTGGCGAAGTTCATCGTGCGCGTGACGTTGTAAAACTGTGGGTAGGGCGCGGGCAGGATAGGCATATGATCGTTCTTGAGACTCATGTATGCCCACCAGTCCTCGGAGTTGATGATGTTATATCCACCACCCTGAAGCTCAAGAGGGTCTGATTGACCGTACTGCCAGTGTTGTATGATGACATCCTTGGAGATGGTGAGATTCTCGGATGGTTCATAAGTACCCCATATACGTATGCGCTTGCCGGAAGTACTGTTGACGAAGTCGGACATCTCATTGACAAAGTTGATATAGTCATCCGCTAGGTCAGGATCGTATTCGTCAGCGCCAATGTGAACTTCCTTCGTTTGAAACCATGGCAGGAACTCAGACCAAATCGCTTTGACTGTGGGGATAGCATCTGGATGGCTCAAGTTCAGCAGGTCCTTCTTTGCGAGTGCCAACTCAGGCTTCCATTTCGTAATTGCTAGTGCGTGACCTGGAGCTTCGATTTCGGGGATGACAGTGACGCCACGTTGTGCGCAGTGTTCTTGAAAATCTTCAAAGTCGGCTCGCGACAGTGTCTCGTTCGGGCGCTGGATGATACCCTGTAGCTCGGAATTTTGTTCTGGAAACAGGGAGAAATGCGAAAAGACATTCTGCCAGGTCTCATTGCGGCCACGATTCAAGGGATAGTTGTCGCTGGAGTGGTAATGGAATTCCGAAATCTTGAAGAACGAGACATATGTGCAAAGCTCTTTGAGAAAGTGTTTATCGTACCTAAACGCAGGGGTGCGAAGTCAGTGAATCTCTCATATGCAGTTCGTACATGGAGATGACTTACCATTTGCGACCCGCATCGAGCATGAATCCCCGTGTGCTATACGCGGGCGCATCAACTGTGCGGCCTGTCACGAGTGTTCCGTTTCCGATCAGCAGCTCTTGTAAAAGAGTGCGCGTTCCCCAAAACATGCCCCTCGCACCAGTCCCGCCTATGTACACACTACCATTAGTAACATCAAGTTCATATCCCTCTTTTGTAGATTGACCATTCTCGTATGTCAATGGAGTATTGCTATCGCGGATTGGGCCGAGATGAATACCAGTGATAGGAAAGTCGTCTACTTGCTCCAAAGTCCACGAATCACCGAAGAGCGATGAAAGGTCGGCGCGAAGTGTGTTCGCGAACTCATGAGCAGATGGCGGTATGAGGGTTAGACCTTCAGAGTCTCTTGTACCGGCAAATTGTTTGTCAATGTATATCTTCCTTGCGCCCGTGCTGATTGAGAAGCCGGGGTCACTCGTATCGCTGTAGCTCGGTAAGACAGGCGGGAGAGAATGCAGCGCGGTTACGAGACCGACGAAATGTGATAACGCGAAGAACATCATACTCTGTATGATACGATGGGAAAGGCAGTCAAGTCGTTCAAGCACCTTGGGTCCTGTTGTCGTATTAAGATATCTAGGTAGCTGTGTCTTGGCTGCCGTCAAGCGTCCTCGGCCCGCTTCTGCAAGGCCGATGTAACCTTTACAGGGAGCAATAATAGAGACATGCGATAAGACATAGACGATGAATACGGAAGTCGCCTAGAAGGATAAATGCAACAAAGTTAATGGATTTGGAAGGACGTTTCGTCGCAAGAGATATGCTGTCAGCTTAGGTCAAGCTCCAGTTTGTGAAGCTCGACCGGAAATAGTCTAACCTATTTCAGATGGGACGCTTCGGGTTACAAAGACTCGACCGTACAGCTGCAGCAAACTAAACCACATTGCCGCAAGATCAAGCGGGATCTTAGGTACGCTCATACCGCCTACTTTCTGATGTACTGTTTGACCCCGAGTTGAGCACTGCACTTGTATACTACCAAGGAATAATCGGGGTATTCTTGAGAGACGATATACCAGTGAGTACAGTCGACTCGATGCGATGTGCTGTGTATGCTAGGCTTTCAAGTACTGGAGATAACAAGTGATTGTTAGGAACATGTTGTTCCCAGACATGATGTTTGCAGATGGAGAGCGAAGCCAGAAAGAAGACAGCCAAGATCTAGACCAGTGAAGTTTAGCGCATCGGAGAAAATCTGCGTCTCTACCGATCTGATCGTCAATCGCGCAGCTTCGACCATAGATTCAGAAAACACGTCATGTATCGATAGCATTGGCATTTACCGGCGTTCTCAACTTTTCACGTTTTCATTTCAGGATGGATCGTCATCAGCGCGTTGTCGCGCAAGTCGCGTCAAAAGTCAAAGACTACTTCACGCGCAAAGAGCCTTTCCGGATATCTCACGGCTCGACCAACAGCACGCGTCCAAATCTTAAGAAGCATGTCGTAGACATCAGCGCTCTACGAAATGTCATCAGTGTTGACACGCAAAGCAAGACGGCGCTTGTTGAGCCAAATGTGCCTATGGATCGCCTCGTAGAAGCTACGCTACCGCATGGTCTTGTGCCACCCGTCGTGATGGAGTTTCCTGGTATCACTGTTGGTGGAGGTTATGCGGGAACGGCAGGCGAGAGTAGCAGTTTCAAGTTCGGCTTCTTCGATCGTACCATCAATGAGGTGGAGATGGTCATGGCTGATGGTGAGGTGACCAAGGCTAGCGAAAAGAAAAATGAAGACCTCTTCAGAGGAGCTGCTGGTGCCGTCGGTACCTTAGGCGTTACTACGCTTGTCGACTTGAAGCTCATTGAGGCTAAGAAATATGTCAAGACAACATACTATCCTACACGTAGCGTTGCTCAAGCTGTCAAAGAAGTCGAAGATCATACCCGAGGCGACAGGGGGGAGAAGAACGACTACGTCGATGGAATTTTATTCAACAAAGAGCATGGTGCTATCGTTACAGGTGAGATGACGGATGAGCTTCCACCAAATACCAAACCACAAACTTTCAGTAACCCCTGGGACCCATGGTTCTACCTGCATGTCGAAAATGCAACACGAGATTCTACCAAGCCAGTCATAGAGTACATACCGTTGGCCGAGTACATGTTCCGCTACGACCGTGGGGGCTTTTGGGTTGGTCGATCCGCTTTCAGTTATATGCGCTTTCCCTTCAATAAGTATACTCGATGGTTCCTCGACGACTTCCTTCATACACGCATGCTTTACCGAGCTCTCCATGCATCGGGCATTGCAACACGCTACATCGTTCAGGATATGGCCTTGCCCTATCCGAATGCCGAAAAGTTCATCGATTACACCGATAAGACGTTCAATATCTGGCCTCTATGGCTCTGTCCTTTGAAGCAAAGCCCACAACCAACAATGCATCCCCATACCAAAGGCAGCCTAAAGTCAGATCAGATGCTTAACATCGGCCTCTGGGGTTTTGGTCCCAAAGACCCAACGACTTACCTTCACAAGAACCGCGCGCTAGAGAAGACGCTTGGCGAGATGGGTGGTATGAAGTGGCTATATGCGCAAACCTATTATAGCAAAGATGAATTCTGGGCACAGTTCGACCGCAAATGGCATCAGGGATTGAGGAAGAAATACAACGCAGAGATGCTGCCAGAAGTGTATGACAAAGTGCATGTCGATATCGAAAAGTATACGAACATGGCGAATAAGGATCTAGGATTAAAACTAAGGAGCATCTGGCCATTGGGCGGATTTTGGGGTATCTGGAAGGCCATCCAAAGTAAAGACTACATGATTGCGAGAAACTCGACGTGGAGGACGAGAAGCTAGAAGTGTGCTCTTCTTGAGGAGAAACAAAGGTCTAGAGGAAAGCATAGCTATATGATCTGATACAACGGTGATGAAGCAGCTTGCGCAACCGGTAAAAGTCGTGCGTACAGAACCTTCTGCCTACCTACAGCTCCCATAAACCATACTCTCTACACTCAGAAGTCCAGATCACCGATAACACTATGACCTTTATGAGTGACATGGCTATCACACCGTCGACTGTGTTTTTGACATGTTTCGTATGGCAATCATCCATTTGATGCACAACATCCCAGTGGACGGAGAAGGCGGACGAAGACCTCGTCTCTAAACTCAAGGTGAAAGGACCGATCGCTTTGAGGCAGGATAGCTGGTCAATGTGAAAGGCAAAATATAGGAGGATACGGAGTGTGAGGCATTATTGGCTGGCAGTAATGTCGTTATGTACTATGAAGATAACGCATATGACCTGCTGATACAATGTTCTTGATCGACTGACACACTCATTCTATGTGCTGCGAGTGTTGCGACACGTACATGTGAGTATATGTGACCTTTGCCAAGGATCTTGGTCTACCGAGTGTTTGTTGCAGGCGCAAATTCACCGCCAGCGCGTCTGGCCTTTTGCCAGCTGTCAATCCTCATGTGTTTTCTCCTGCCCTACGGGGTGCGTCCCAGTACCACGAAGTGTCGCTAATACTGTCTTGGGTCGTGCGCCCCTCACCTGCAAAATCGCTGCGACACGACTACTACAGCCATGGCCGAATCTGCCGACATGATCGTGCACCTTTCAGCCGACGTGTACCAGGATCAGTTTGAATTTATTGAGCTAGTCCTTGATGTTACCGGATCCATCGAAAGCCAGTCGCCAAACGATGTTATACGCACTCAAGTCCAGCTGCTTCTATCGATTGTTGGTAGAGATTAGTCAAGAGCCAATCGAGCCTATCTCGCCTTTAGATCATGAGCAGGAAGCTGCAACCAGCCTGAAACAGTTCACCATAACACTGGACTGAGAATGGTCAACTATCGACCATTTACTCAAAAAACATCCAAAGTTATGAAGATGGACCCTGCATCCTCCGCACAGATCGCGACACTTAACACAATCGAGATCATGCTCCATTCGGAACATCTCTTCTTGCACAAGAACCTGCAGGTCCTGATCTCTTTCGTCTTATCGGTCGCACCTGCGCTTGATGGCATGGCTGAGACGCGCCTGTCAGAGCGATTGACGACTCTTCTCAAAGATCTCAGCGTCTACAGCGGCTCGCAAACTGTCCAGAATCGCGATACTATCAACGGTCTTTGCCGAAATCTGGGAAGAGTGTTTGAAGATGTAGCAATGCAGCCTACAAGCGACGATTTCGATGAACGAGAGCTCTCAAAGGCTACCTCCAAGCTTGTTATCGATTATGTCAGTCTGTATGCAAACATCGTGGCGTCTATCCTGGGTCGACCCATCTGGTGCATAGAGAACTGGCAAGGGAGATTGATGGGCACAGATACGTGGTGTTTACCTTGGTTAGCAATGGAGCATAGAGCAAGGGTGAGCCTCCTGTGATGTTGCTATTCATGTCTATCGAGACACTTGACAAATCATTTGGGAAGCGTCAAGCATCTAGGTATAGATGAACTTTTGTACATTTCGCCCGTGTCTCAGCATTTTCAATTCAAAAAGTAGCTCCATTCTCTTGCCGTGATGAGATTGTATTATTAGCCGAATTCAGGACAAATAATGAGGAGGTTGGTGGAAGAGTGTGAAAGATCGGCGAACCTCTAGCGGATTACGTCAGACGTAAGTGGTCAATGCATGTCGTGCGTCTTTCGCGTGCCTCCAAACCATCGCGCACTGCAAGCCTATAATACGTCGACCTGGAAGCGGTCTGGATCTCTGCTTATTGCATGCACACTGTTACTTATGACGGCATATTTACCCACAGATTGGGCGTACTAATGGACTAATTGAGCAGCGGATGAGTACGGATCCCCTGCCGAAACGAGCCGCCACGCGATGACGATCGTCATCCACCCTGCGGCAATTTCGATAAACATCTTTCGACAAGCACACTTCTCGTATGAATTGTATTGATACCGCCTGCGTAAACCCTCCTGGTCATCTTTTGTGTCGCACAGACTCCAAATCCCCGTCTTGAGTCCAACGACACCCAATCACCATCTCCACGCTTAGCTGCAGGTGTCTCCACTATGGCGGAGCGAGAAACCAAGAAAGGCGGCCTGCGTGCCATGTTTGGCATGCGATCAGGGAAACAACCAAAAGAGCCGGGTACGCGGAAAAAGCTTTCCAAGAAAGGATCACGAAGCGATATACTCGGAAAGCTTGACTCAACCCCGAACGTCGCGAACACCAACCGCCAGGATTCTGGCAGCTTCACGAATGAAAGAAGCGATTTATCAGAGAACGCTTTTGGCTTACCGACCTACGAAGATGTCACTGGTCTTGCGCCACATGCGTTGCGTGATCACCCATATGCTGCCGTTAACGCTCTTACGGACACAAATAACGCATACTTACAGCCTGGGCAACAAGCGGCCGATTACCGTCGCAATTCAGAAGGACAACCACAGTATGCTGCACCTTTATATCAACCACATAGCTCGAGATCTGCATCAATACCGCAACTGGAACACGAAAAAACTCTACCTTACGCGCCATCAAAACCCCAGCCTTCAAGGTTAAGCAAGGCCCATCGGGCGCCTTCGAAGCCCACAAGAGCCGATGATATTCTAGATAAGGATACCGGAGAAAGGAAGGATCTGACAGATATGATGCATGCTTTCACATACATTGATGGAGTGGATACTATTGAAGAAGAAAGGGATGATCAATCGCTACTATATGACCCTACAAAGCCTGATGGAATGGCAGTAATTGGCAGTGCATCGCCTGAAATATGGCTCCGTGTTGCAGATTTTCTGTCACCACTCGATGTTGCCAACCTATCGTCTACATGCCGGACCATGTATGCTCGACTAGGTAGACACCCGTACAAACTACTCATGGACCCGCTCCACCGGCCGCATCGGCTCGAGTTTCTACTTGCAATGGACCAAAAGATGCCACGCCATCTCTTTTGTTTTCCCTGCGCGCAGTGGCATTTACGAATCCAGCCTGGCCTAGAGACACTGAAACCTCAGAATGTCCTCAACCCACTCTTCGAATGCCCTAATCGAACCAACATCCACATCCCTCCACCGCGAATTCGTCTAAGCGATGGCCGCACGCTTCCATTCGCCTTCATTCAATTAGCCCGCCGCCATTGGGCCTACGGTCCAGAATATGGCATTCCCCACCAGTCGCTGGGCCGCCGTTGGAAAGACGGGTATTCAGACTGGAGCCATGACTCTACATATCACATCACTGACAAAGGTCACATGTTAATGCGCATTCGATCACAACATTATGTTGAAGGCGGTATGACAGATGCAGCAAAGCGCATGCTTTTGTTTAGCCGTGGAGACTATACGCCCTACTTCAGCGTATGCGCGCATTGGAAACATGGACTACTAACTTCGATCCCCAAGTGTGCACTGAAGCATATTCCTCACGTCCACGACTCCGAAACAACGGCTCTCGACAAATTCCGTGAACGCAACTTAGGAAGAAGAGCCGTCGGCATGGTTCATCTCTGCTCCATATGCCGACCGATGCGTCGCTGCCCAAAATGTCCCACCGAATACTTGTTTGAACTCAAACTTGTCGAAGATAAGAGTGTGCGCGGCAACGGCCCTGAACGCTTCAAACAGGCTCTCATCGTTACGCGCTGGAGCGATTTGGGGCCTGCACGCAGCCCCACGGATCCTGAATGGAGCGCTATCACAGGCGAAAATGACACATATGACAGTTTCGTAGAGATTGGGCGAAGAGCTGTTAGTGGTGTGTTTGAGAGTGCGTTCACGGATACGATACCTGGGCAGCGGATCATGAGCATGAACCCGATGGACGTGAAGGCAAACGAGGAGAGCGGGGACTGGTACTAACTGAGTCCAATATATCAATAGAGTGTCTTGCAAAAAATGGGATACGTCTGGACGAACCCACATAGCATCTAAGCAAACCCATGAATACACGGTTATCGCCGTTGAAGTTTCATGCAGTCAATGTCTCTTGCCAAGGAATGGCGCCGAATCCCGTAGATATTCTACATACTGTACACCCAAGTCCCCACGTACACATCCTTGACCCCGTTCCATGCATCACTTCAACGTCACCGCATATGGATGATAACATCACTCTATTGCATGCTCTCAACTGCTGGGCTTGAGCAGAACCAGTCACGCTCTTATGGTGCCCGTACTACCTTCCTACCAGTAACCTCGTAACGTTGCAATTCCTGCAAAATCTTTGGAGAGTCGGCAAAGTCGTATACTTCGACTTTTGGTGTGATCTTGCCTTCCAAAGCCATTTGTAGAAGCTCGTCCATCTGCTTAGCGCTGCCTGTTGACGATCCTCTAATGACCAACCCTGGTATTGTTAGCGAAATGTCTCCAGCATTTAGAGAAGATGTGAAGAAATACCTCTGTTAGCGATGTGAATCGGAGACATGGGAAACATGAACGTGTCCGGCGGAAGTCCAACACAAACGAAGACGCCACTATTCCTCGCCAACGCTGGAGCTTGCTGATAGGCTCTTTCGCTTCCAGCGACGCAGATGACGCCATGCGCACCTTCACCATCTGTGAGGTCCCTGACTGCCTGTAACACATCCTGTTTGGCGTAGTCGACAAAAGCGACGGCACCCATTTCCTTGGTCAGCTTCTCCTTTTCGGCGCCGCTGTCAATCGCGATGACTTTGTATCCCTTGATGGTAGCAATCTGCACACCGATATGTCCAAGACCACCTCCAGCACCAATGATAGCCACAAAGTCGCCTGGATTGACCTCTGGAGTGAGTTTGGACACGGCGCCCGCAAGACTCAGGCCTGCACAGAGTAGTGGCGCCGCAATCTCGCTCTTGACTCCCTCTGGTATCTTGGTCACGAATTCGGCATCCGCAACCACATACTGCTGCAATGTACCCCAAACACTCCGTCCAGTGTTCTTCTGCTTGGCACAGTGGTTCTCCTTGCCCTGTTTACAGCTACTGCACTCTTTGCACGCGTTCCAAAGCCACTTTATGCCCACCCTCTTTCCCAGCAAGTCTTCTGACACACCCTGGCCAAGCGATACGACACTGCCGACGCCTTCATGGCCAGGCACCTCGGTGTATTTGCCAGGGGAGACCAGGTTGTGGCAGTCGCTGTGACATATCCCGCTGTATTCGAGCTTTACGAGGACTTCGCCAGTGGAAGGGGTCTGGACTTGGACATCGTTTCGGATTTGGAGGACGCAATCAGGGCCGGGATCTTGGATCCAACCTGCAGTTTGCGTCTTGGGAATTGATTCGGCCATGATTTCGACGATTACCGCTAGATGCGCTCAGGGGAAGGTGGGGCTTGGTGGGATGTTGTTTCGGCGATCGACAAAGTAATCTTGAGCAAAAGGGATGGCTATGTCACCTGGGCAATGCGAGAGGGAGACTTGGATACGCGCAATTGGATGTACGCAAGAAAACAACAGGACATCAGGCAAATTAATTGCCGACATGCAACGAGACGGCCTGCAACCATAGTGGAAATGGTGACGATACCCCGCGACTGCCCCACCATCGGCCTTCTCCGGCTGCCAATCGGAGCGCGTCAACCTCCGCATCTCGTTCACGGCTGCCTTTTCGGCTCTTAACGTCACTTGTGCCACTATCCCTATAATCGTGACTCACCTGAGGACAGATAGTCAAGGGCGGAAATGATTGAGGTGGCTGTGTTGGACGATAAGCCTTTACCTCGGATTGGGCGTGTGGGTGAGTGGGCTTCGTAAAGTCTACCGAAGAACGCTAAGTTCGTATCCCACTGAGAAGCTGGTAGGCAATGTTATCTCCATTGCATAATGCTCTTCTCATTTGTCTCATTCTGACGCGATGTTCTCCCTAACCATTCAACGAGAGATTTGCCGAATGCGCTGATCCCTTATGTTTTCTGATTCTCAGACTGTGCTGCTTTGCTTTCGTCTTCAAGTTCCATTCCAGCTCGCAGTTCACTACTGCCCTGGCCTCCGCTTGTTCATATCATATCATCATACCTCACCTCAAAGCTGGCTTTGTCGTTATCCCTCATAGCTTTTTCATCTTTCTCTGTTGTCTCGTGTCCTCTGATATACTCCCACATCACCATGGGTTCATGTCGACTGAATATCTCAGCTAATCAGAATTGCTGTCTCCACTCGCAAACGTGGTAAGAGAATACTACGGAGAACACTTTCTGGGCTTATAACTCCCTAGATCCTGTTCATTCGTCTCAAGAGGTCTCATGGCCAGCCTCAGCCCGGTTGAGAATTGCGTGTCAAGTTCTTCGAGAAACCCTACACAAAACTCTTCCTCAGTCAAGTCAGTGCGCAAGCTGAGAATTGGTGGTGATCATCAATATGATATCTTACCTCGTCACGCTAGCTGCGAGGTGAGAGAGACGTCCGAGATGTGTGTGTAGCGCCTGAGGTATCGCTTCCAGGACTTGCGCAATCAATATGTACTTTTGCAAACCCTAGGTGAAGAAGAGTTGCATTGTCAAGGTGACCGTGTACACACACATCAAGTAGAATATGAACATTGAGCAATCTTCAACATCGTATCTTGACCTCTCTCAACCACTGCCTCAACAGAACCTCTTTATGACTAAAGTGATCTTGTATCTACACTGCTAATCACCAAAGCTAGGCTACAATGATGATATCGGACCCTGAAGTGCAAATGGCCAAGTCGTCCAACCGCACTCACCGATTTTTCACGAAGACCGTCCATTCACTCAGCGCAAATCGTAGAGCCCCACCTCGAATCCCTCTTCCTCACTCGATCATAATCAAAGTTACACCACCTACACCACCTTCCTCTCCCACACCATCACGACGATCAAGTATGCATTGGGACAAGATTGAGCTTTCCAATTACCCACCACAACTCACTTATCAAGACGTGCTCACGCTCTTCCAAGATTTCACCATCTCGCCTGACTTTGTTCTTCCCAACGTCAAAAACCTTGCCTACCCGTTACGCACATTCATCAGGATCGCTGGAGAACAAGAAGCAGAACGCGCGGTACAAGAGCTGTGTTGGAGCAAAGTCGGCGGGCGTCAGATCAACGTGAGAATGGTTGAAGAGACAGGTCACCAAGAGATGGAAGTTGCTGTCGCGGATGTGGCTGATGAGATGAAGATCGGTATCGTCAGTGAGTAAACATGTTGTGATCTTACGAGAGCTCTTTGCTAAAGTTAACAGACACTGCGCGTGTATATAACCCACAACTGACTACGAAAATCCTCGAGGTTCGTGAATGCATGCAGGGTACAGCCAACTTTGCTTTCCTACAGGCACGCGATCCGGTCACGGTATCCAGCAAGCCAGAGGCACATATGCTATCAACGGATGACAAGGCGCAGTGGGAGCTGATTATGGCTGGTCGCTCGGAAGGTTGGAATTGGAAGATGAAAGATGGCAGCGGTAGACTTGCTGCGTTGAAAGACCTACAAGACACATTGCAGAGGCAGGGTATCATGAAGAAGTTGTGGGGCCAATGGGAGGGTAGCAGTGTACTTGACATACATTGAGTCATCGCATGTATGGTATGTTCCTTGTAATGGGTGACTATCAAGGCATGATACGTACAGAAGTGGACTCTTGACCCGAATCGACCTTGGTTTGGTCTGCAAGTCTATAGAATTCTCGCAAGATGACATGACTTCCGTGGTACTGTTCGCTCTCAGCCTCTGCAGTTTTGAAGACTATCTGCCAAAATCTAAACCTCCAGCAGATCTCAAGGCAAGCAAAAGGTCCGCAGCGAAAAAACTGTACGTCTTAATTGTTGGCTCAAAGGTAGTATTTGGAGACATCTGGCTGCGCGAAATCCAAGAACTAGCATGCTTGTCGATTCCCTGTGCTATGGTAATGCCCATGGTGCTCTGGGCGCGTGGACAAGAACCATAATATGCTGCAACAATCTCAGAAATGAGATTAGCGCGCAGAGACCCTCCATGAGTGCGCATAGCAACCTCGACTTGGTCGCAGGTACGGTGCAGGAGAGGAGTAATCGCGTACTTATCAGCTAGAATATGGACGCCAATGGGAACCATGATATTCTGCTCGACTATGGCCTCAATACCCCTTCAGCTTGGGCATGAAGGGGAAGGCAATTCCATAGTGTAAATGAACTTGAGCATGAGCTCGAAGTTCTTCGGGTCATCATCGAGTACTTCGATTGTTTGCTCAGAAGCTTCCTGAAACGTGGGCTTAGTGAAGATTGATTGAGATCTACTAGAAAGGGAAATACCTTGAACTTTCCAGTAAACGCTTTGAGAAACCACTTGGAGTGTGCGCAGAGAACGGCTTTGTGTGCAAAGTACTCTGTAGCCTTGCCTTTGTAAATTTGGCGAATCTTGACGTCAGAGAGAGTCGGGTTATTGAACAGCCTTTGTGTTATAGAACGTCAGCACCGGCGTTACCTAAAGCGAAGTAATAACACGTACGAGGTTTCCGCGGACTTTGACGGTGATGCTATCGCAACAGGTGGTTTGATAGGGTCGCTCGACACCATCGTTTAGTTTTTGGTATATAATTTGTACTTCAATCAAGGTTGAAAAATGAAAACAGTATCGGAATCGCAGAATCTGTAGTCAGTCTCAGTGTGCCAAGACTTGCAAACACTGCTGGAAACTGACAGAAGACAGCGGAGTAGTGAGTGATGAGTTTGGCGAAGTGAGAGACGAAATGAAGCCACGGCTCCGACAGTGTGGGAGCATGCGAGTAGTGACAGGAAACATCTTGGAACAGAACAAGTGATAGATCAGATGAGATTGATTGGATGATGTATTGTACGTGAAGTAGATGCAACTGATGTAGGTGAATGAACAAAGGAATGTGACAAACAACAAACTAACTATACATGAGATGGAAGCTGCATATGGAAACCAACAAAACACGTCACTGTTACCGATGACCAAACTCAAAAATCTGGTTTGTATCGAGAGTTCTTTAATCCTCTACTTTCCAAGCTCAGTACGTCTCCCGTTCCGTGCCTTCGAATATATTTTTCCGGCAAAGCGGGCAATCGTGGGCCCTCGCATACGGCCCGTTGACCTGCTTCGACAAACACTCTTCGCAGAACATATGACTACAAGTGACGAGACGACGCATACTCCTTTGCGGTTCCAAACATATGCAACATTCAGTATGTACAACAGTTGAGAAGACGTTCAAGTCGACTCGGAATGTTGAGTGCGGTGCTGCTGGCGCCACTGCTGGAGTGTCTGGATCTGTAGGGACGATGCTGGTGAGAGGTGGAGGCATATCGTTTTCAGAGGACAAAAGAATCGCAGGCAGGGGCGAGATAGCGCTTGCGATACGTGCAGCAAGGCCTTGAGGTTGTGTGGCGATGGACGGAGTACGGTTCGAATGTCGAGAGACCACTCTCGGGAGTGTAGCATGGGGTGCAAGGACATTAGAAGCGGATACATCTTGGCTTCGATTCGTACCAAGAGCCTGTCTGCGCCTAGTTGTTCTTGTTCGGGGCTGGTATGATGCACGCGATGGTGGCAGCTGTATTGAAGTTCTTGACTGTATGTCTGAAAGATTTGGCGTAGGTATGGAGATCTGCGAGACCATCGAACGTCCTTTTGGCGGTAAAGTACGTCGTTGTGGTGGGTTGACTGGCTCGCTACGGAGCGGTCCTTGGTAACCTGGCATGTGTCCGATACAGAAGTATTGGCCATCGTAGTTGTCTTGATACAAGGTTCCAACACGCATGCAGCGACGTGGATTTCCCGTAGAGCGACCTGGTGGTCTCTCTATAATGGCATCGCATCGATTTGCATGCGAATCACAGAACCAGTTTTGCCCCTCGGTGTCGACACAAGTGCCACGTCTCCAGCCATCTTCTGCGCAAAGCGGAGTCCCGATCCGCGTGTGTCCAATGCAATAACAACATAGCCATTTATCGGAGAAGGCATAGTATATAAGGGCCTGGTTTGGGCAACCCCTAAACCATTCGCAAACTGGTGGACAGACTCGCATTCTGTGACGGACCGTTTTGAGGTATGCGATGCCGCAGCAAGTCTACTAGATTCGTGTTTAGCGTCTTGTATTTGATATTTTAAACACTGTGGAGTGATGATCGACTAACAAACAAAGGATGTTTGCACTGAAGAATGGATAGAGCCCGACGGTAGGGTGTGGATCCGACGTCAGCATCCATATCGCAATTGTTGCAGTTGATGCAGCATTGGGATTCACTCCTTCTGTGTAGTTCATTTGATGGCAACAACTCCATCGCAGCTACCGATGTGTACTGAGCAGCGAAGGCGCGGATATCGCGTGATTGACGTGCCACGATATCCCTGGAATGTAACTCCTAGCCAACGAGCTTTCTTGATGGTGGCGCATCGGGCATATCCAACCACGCGTGATAGATTGACCTTGCGGCCTGAAGGTTGAGATGATCAACGCATACGACGTAACGTATGTTGTAGAGCTTCTAAGACTGTTTCGTGGTCAACAACATGGAAGTCGCGGGCATGGTGACATTACACACGAGTGCATGGCTATACGGTTCTCATGCTGTTTTGTAGCAATAGATGAGACGCGGTGGCATCGCGTTCTTGCCAAATGATCGCGTTATTGTTAAGGTCGAATCGCGTCACGTTGCTTAGCCTCGGTGTCCCCTGATGACGTCACCACTATTGGAGCATCCCAACACGTTTCCGTTTCACAGCGCGCATGCCTTGGGTCTTTGCTGCATGCTGACAACAACTGCTAAGACCAAAGATCCTCATACTTCGATGAGTGAATTGGCACGTTGGGTGATGCAGTAAGATAACTGGCTGTAGCATACGCGAGCAAGCGCTGGTAGGCTATTCCAAGACTATTTAGCATACCACATTGTGTCTATAAGCAAAGACTTAATTGCGTCTTCAAAGAGACCTCAACCAATGCATATAGGAAACGAGCAAGTTTAGTCCGCAGAACCATATTGTCGTGACCGCTGTTCGCAAACAGCAGTCCTTGTTTGCTGAGACGCGGGGTTGAGATGTCCGTTGAGGATGTTGTTGAGAGATTATGGCCTATAGCGCAGTATGTATGTTTATGGTAGGCTTACATACTGGATACCTTGGTACAACTCACACAACGAGCCAACCACAATCCCTGTAGTTCCAGTGATCTCGGCAATATCGAGCCAATTAGCAACTCCGAAGGAAGACATGGCAAGTATAATATGCTCAGACAGAGATGAACCCTTTCCTACCGCACCCTGAACCAAATAATGGTTACCTGGGCCACCCAACAAAGGATTGAACAAAAAGCGAAGGATGTGCGCACGACTCGACTGCACCTCTCTCTCTTTCCGTTACAGTCCACCTTTTCGCAGTAACCCCAGCCAGACCTAGACATGTCGCCTGTCCGCACCCTGCTACGCGAAATACGCGACGTGATAATTGACGGTCTTCGCATCACCAATTACAAAAGGGCTGATCAACAAGTCTTTGGTCCACTATACGCATCACTCTACTCACGACGTTGATTTCATCTTCGAAAACCGTGATCTCATCATTCGCTTCAAATCCTCCCGCCACTCCCAGGGACAAAATAGCCCAATACACTTGTTTCCTCGGACATATTCTGCCTCGCTACGACAAGCAGTCGCCAACCTTCAGTCGCTTTTCAAATCGCACATCCCACGACATGCACGTCTCGATGCATATTCTCAACGCGAGCGAAGGGACCGGTTCTAGACAAGATTTTGGATCTCGCCCAACCCTAAGGCGAAACAGAGATCGTTGTCTGGAGGTCATCAAGTGTCTCCATCTAGGGTTACAACTTGATATCGCATCTGCCGTAAAACGTCTCAGGATCAGGAGCAGATGGAAGAGACGATGGTCCATCCCTCCTTCAGTCGCAACAAAGATGAAGTGGGACGCTCGTTATCGGAGCTGTCAGGAAGGATGATTGGAATACTGGTGCTAGTTTGTTGGGTCTCCTTCTGCTGAGGATGTATCACGTGTGTTGTCCAACTCAGTCGAACAACTTGCTGTCGGACCAGCCATGGTGGTTTCGCAATGCTCACGGACAGCCCTGCTTCATTCGATACAACACTGGCCCTTCCACAGCATCGTTGGAGTTCGAATAGTTGAGTGGTTGAAAAGAGTGTTTCAGCGTCGTCGTCGTGGTTGAGCTGAACGTTATGTCAGGGAGGAGGTGTGGCCAACAGTACGAATCAATAATAGTAGTCAGCCTTGCAGATGAATGTGGATAGCTGGCGGAAACATGTATCCGCAAGGTTCATAATTCTTGATCCCTAATGCTGCGTTTATTCCATAACTTCGATACCCACAGCGTATCGACCACACAATTGATATCTGCCATGCTCATTCCATTCCTCTCCCCTTCTCAGGTCTGTACACCCGGAGTTGCCCTTTCGCAGTCCCGACCTCACGGATCCATGGTGTCAGTCCACTGTTATAACCCGATGACGATGTCGTGACTGTTTCCACGCTCGGCCAGTATGCCATCGAATCCAAATCCCACCCTCCCGTTCTTTCTTCGTATAGCCAGCCTTGCCACACATACTCCCTGTCTAGCATACCGCCAGATGGTGTGACCATAGTTTCTCGTAGAATGGTCATAGGTGCCGGCGGATATCGGTCTCTTGCCCAAACGTGGAGTGTATCGGCAGGGCTGAGTGGTCCATTGAGAAGATGGCGGGGTTTATCGGGAAAGCGAGCCATGGTGTTGGTGTATTCCTAGTAGACTGTGATCGGCGAGTTTGGCGGGTTGAAGTGAACTGTAGCGCCCCTTCCCCTTGCCAGGATTGTGTGTGCATCGTGCAGTGAGAACATGTAGAAGAAAGTCACACCATGGCTTTTGTGCCTGAAGAACTCCACAGGACAAGGTCGTGGAAGGGAGGTACTCGGTTTGATGTGTAATTCCATTATCATTCAGATATTGGTTCGGGTACTCGCTGATACGGACGATTCGTGATTGTTGATGTTTGGTTGGGTGATGCTAGAAAATATGGAATGTCTGCATTTTGAAGTTGCATTTGCAGCTTTCTTCCCACAGGGCCTCTTTCCGAACACTGATATACAAGAAAGACGTTGTAACATCATGGACTTGAGGAAAGCAGCATCCTAGTGAAAGGCAGGTGGGGACAACAAGGCGGTAACATGTTCGATGGCAGATCAGTGACGTTTCGAGGTATCTGGACTGGTCATTCTGCTATTGTGATCAAAGAGATCTGAAAAACTTTCGCAAGTCTCACACGCTGTTTGCAATATATAGGGTCACGAAGGGCTCCAGGGTAATGATCCACCGCAAGGATGAGGTATCTTTGTTCCCGACGCCATCCGGCGGTAATGTGGGTTGAGCTCCCTGGATGTGTCGTCCCACGTATGCGGACAGCCGCGATCGGTCACACTTGGCAGGAACGACCGATGGGCACGATGGAGGGTCGCATCGACGCGGCCAGATGGCCACGTACTACAGCCCGTAGCGTAAACTTTTTCACGCGCGTCAATAGTGTGGTAGTAGAAAGCAAGTAGGAGAAATGCAAGAGGGTGCTGCTGAAGTGGAAGCCATACGTCAGGGTGTGACAAGCTCCTTCCAGGTACCCGGGTGGGCCTTGGCATGGCAGGGATATGGTGCCGACGAAGCGTGGGAACCTGGAAATCTGACGGCATCTGCACAAGACACCACAAAGGGAAATACGGAGCCCCGCAGAGAGACTGGAGAGAACGTCTCCATAGTCGTCACTGCTCGATCCATCGCCGGTACCTCGAATTTTCACTCGTAGCTCGCCTCAACCACCAGGTGACGCGTTCCGGGACTGCCGCTTTGGCCGCATTTGTCTCCCCCGACCGTTAAGTCCGCACTTTCACCTACGCTGTCGCCTCGCCCTCTATGCAGCAACCCTCGTAGCTCTGCGCCTGCGCCTCCCTCGATTATGTTCGGCCGGTCGACTCTCCAATCACTCGGGCACATCGCGTGCACTCGCGACCACCTTCTCGGATAATCCTCTACTCGGTCAATGGCATACGGTTGAAGCAGCATCATGGCCCTGCCAACCCTTCAGTTCCTTGCGGGGCTCCTGCTCCTGATATACCTGCTCTCGTTTGTCCTATTTGCCTTTATACGTATAGCCACCGGCGTATCCATACAGCGACTCGGCCTCCGGGGCCTGCGACGTATCGCCTTTACCCCCAAGGATGGCCTGCGCATCGAAATCCGCGGCCTTGGCTTTACCCTCCATCGACCTACCTTCGCCCAACCGACGGTAGTCAGCATTGTTCTACACGAGCTCAAGGTCACGGTAGACCTCAAGGCGCTTGGAGAGAAGCCGCGGAAGAAGACGGGCTGGGCACATTGGGCCAACGGCACGACACAAAAGGGCAATAGCGGCCAGAACACCCCGGAACCCGTGGCCGACGACGACGACGAGGAGACACAGAGAAGCCAGACGTGGAAGAGGCTCACGGATGCCAAGGAGAAGATCAAGCGCCTGCACAGGAACATCAACTGGCTCAGGCAGGTCGATGTCGTGGCTCACGCGACCACCCTCGTTGTAGTCGACGTGGGCTCAGTGCAGGTCGGTGGCCTTAATCTGGCTGTAGATACCAGGCAAAAGACGGTCGACCGCAGCCGCCTCTTCAACCACCACAAGCCGAAGCCAGACCAGGAACAATGGCCTGCCGAGTGGCTCTTCTCCGCGCGCAGCATCTTGTTCACTCCAGAAGGCAGGGAATCGACTGAGCTGCTCGACCACTGCACTCTCAACGTTCACGGCTTCCTCAAGAAAGAGCTCGAGGGCCTGCGCGATGCATCCATCGCACTCAAACTGGGCCGACTCCTCATTCCATATGACGACGTCAAGTTATGCATTGAGAGAGCCCAGAAGTGTCGCATGACCGGCCCTCGGAAAAGGAATCGTGGCAGTCGCACAGATGTATCGCTCAGCGATGTCATGGAAGAGCTTGAAGACCCGAACAGTCGCGAAGAAAACCTCGTCCGTACTGTCTCCGATTCCCGCGAGTTCGCCAGCTCCATCCTGCGTGGAATTCACGAGTTCCAGTTCGCTGTCGGTTTCCTCGGCCTCACCAAGCAAATCGAGACCGCCCATAGCTCAGATCCCCCATTTTACCTCAATATCTCCATGAAAGAAGTTGGCATGGATCTTCTACGCCTAGATCCTCGCAGTCCTGCACATCTCATGTACTTTTCGCCCAACGACATTGCCCACCAGGCTCTTCTTGCTGCAATATCCATATCGGTCGGTATTGATAATAGCCATGGTCATCCTGAACGGCTCCTCTATGTTCCAATGGCCACAACGACCTTGAACACAACCCTCCCTTCGAAAACGATTCATTTCTCTAATGATAAAGATAGCGCTGAGCGCAACACCAACATACTCTTCGCCAACTTGGTCGTCACGTCGCCATCTCTGGACCTCGATCCCAAACATCTGCCGCTACTAGTTGCTTTGTTCCATAATTACGAGACGAATCGCAAGCCTCCCGAGACCAGACAACGTAAGCGCTACCTTTTTCGCCGACTGTTACCAAAGGCAAACATCAAAATGTCAATACATGAGCCTGTTATCCGGGTCAGCCTACCACCGATGGATCTCGATAGGCACGACAAGGACGAGTTTGACCTGTTAATCTCTGCATCCTCATCAATATCATTGGACATGGAGTCATCACACTCTGCGGATGGCGAGTTGCATTATGCGCTGAGCTCAACTTTCCGCATGAACGCACAGCAACTCTATTATCAAACTGCAGCGATCGAGAAGCACAATTTGCTTCTGACAGATTACCTGGAAGTCAAAGTGCAGATGAGTGCAGCTCCTGACCCTATTGTCGAGGTTTGGGGCACGGCACAGACATTTTCCCTGTACATGGTTCGGCCTGAGATTAGCGAAGGACTGCGACAGATCGTCACGAAAATGTCAGCGGATATGGGCCGTCGGCGCAGCGTGCCTAAGAAAAAAGGGCTCAATGCACTTCGCAGATTACCAGCTTGGATGACATACGTTCACCTCCGAGGATCAGACTGGAACGTGGATGTCGCTGGAATAGATGCTGATATATCGAAACACAGTCGAGGGGTCGGCTTGCATCTGGAATCTTGGACCGCGGAATACAAAACAGGTCGGGAAGAAGAGGCGGACCTGAAGCCTGCAAGACGCCGTGCACCAAGCAGGACCATCAACCGCGAAGAACACTTACTTAGATCACCGCCCCCGACCTCGCCGAAATCGCCGAAAGGAACGTCAGGCGACCCAACCGATGGGAGACGACTTGCTTTACATTTCTATGGACTGGAGGGGTTAATCATCGAAGGGGAAGACCAGCCGGAGCAAGAACCGACGTTATCATTGCCTCGCATGGAGATCGCTCTGCATACGCTCTCTGATAAGCAGGGTCCGATATTCCACATCCACTCGTACAGTCAGAACTTATTTCTTCGCTATTCGCTGTATCGCCATTTTGCCTTGTGCATGGCGGTGCAAGTTCTACAGAGGTCTTTTGACTGGGACGTCGGGAAGAACAAGGCTGCGGAGCCAACCTCAACCAACTCGCCGCGACACCTGTCCGTACCGACGCTAGGCGAGGACACTGTCGATCCACTTAGCGGAACTAGTCACGAGATTGTGACAGTCGACGTTAAAGCCCATTTCGTCCAGATTAAAGCAGACATGCCAGGAGATCCGCCTCTTATGCTTCAGATCTACGGACTTGAGGCAGGAAAACATCGCTGGACCAGCCCATTCCTTCGGTCGCGCCTAGTGCGACTGTTTGCAGAGAACCCAGCCATCAAACGGGCTTGGAGTCGTATTGTTAGCGTCAAATCCCTCAGACTGGATTATCGGCAATCCAAGCTCAGATACGGTCACACGATAACGGACGAGAAATCGTTCGATATCGCAACGGACGCCATAAGAATTGCTGTACCTCATCAACTAGTCATGCACAAAATCTTTGACAACGTTGCCAACGTTGCCAAGACTGTCAAGCAGGTGCATCATCGCTTCAAGACTGGAACTAATGAGTACGTTCTGGACAAGGAGGCCGAAGGTCCCAAGATTGTGCCAAAGATATCGCTCCGAAGCCGCGCAGTGCTCTTCGAGCTGGAAGACAACGCTTTTGAATGGAAGCTAGGGACTATCTACCGCATTGGTCTTATGGAACAGAAGCAGAGGCTTGCTCGTGAACATGCTTTTGATCTGAAAGTGCGGAAACTGCAGCAGCAAGACGATCAGCGTGGAAACTCTCGTTACCGCGCAAGATCCGCACATGACGTTCGCGGACGGAACAAGATCAAGAAAAAGGACAAAGAGCTTAGATTCCACCGACGCACGAAAAGCGCTGACTCAAGCGGTCATAGTTCGCCGGACCGAGGTCGTTCAGATCATCCTATGCGATATAACAAGGACGGTTTCAGCGGTCTTAGTGGGTCATACCAGACGTCTGTACAAGATGCACGCGTAAAGCTGAACCGCCTGAACGCTCAGACGTGGAAGAAGCGTATCGACTTCGCGATGACAACGCAGAATCGGTCCATGAGCGACATCCGCTCAACATTTTGGGGCCTGGATGAGCTGCCGGACGATATCGAGCAGAAGGAAACCATCCTTGCCGTCTCCCAACGTCCGGCACTTATGGCACTCGCAGTCAGTGATCTAGAAATCGTCGTTGACAAGCCCTCGTTTCCTATCTCGGAGTACCCGCGCTTCCTTCACCGCGTTGGCAAAGGTATGCCATTCGATACTCAGTATGCTCTCTTGATCCCCATGCATGTTCAGATACAGATGGGGGAAGCCAAGATCCACCTTCGGGATTACCCACTGCCACTGTTGCACTTCCCAGCAATCGGCAGCATACAATCGTCAAGACTGCCGAGCGTCTTGATGAAAACAGATTTCGTAATAGCAGAAGAGTTCAGAGATGTCGAATCTTCACGCGTCAGTCGGGTTATTGTGGTACCATCGGAGGTGAACTCTGCAGGCGAGCCGACAGGCGGATATGCGGTCGACGTTCGTCGAACTGTGGCACCTGTCAAGACATACTCGGATATGGCGATCGACATCAATTCAGCATATCCAACTAGGATTACTTGGGGCACTTCATATCAGCCAGCGATTCAAGACATGATGCAAATCATCGAGAACTTCACAAAGCCCGCTATAGACCCCTCTGAAAGGGTCGGATTCTGGGACAAGATCAGGCTGACCTTCCACTCTCGCATTAATGTCTCGTGGAAGGGCGATGGCGATGTTCATCTGATCCTCAAAGGTAAATTGCAGTTCAGCTTCCAGAAAGACTTAATTAACACTTATAGGTTCCCGCGATCCGTACATGGTCACTGGTCACGGTGCAGGCTTTGTCATGTGCTGGCAGAACGATGTACAACTCAGCATCGCTCAGGATGAAGACCCCAGGAATTTCATGGTCGTCAAAAGCGGAAGCTACGTGCTCGCTATTCCAGACCTCAACCACTTTGCCCGTCACGACGCTGAGACAGAAGCTGTGGCCCGGCCAGATACTGCGTCCAGCATGTCTAGTCGTAGGCAGAGAGCCGTCTTCAAGAAGACTGTGATGAAGCTCAATGGCAATGTGCGCTGGGTTGCTGGGTTGGTATTCGAGCGCAATATGGACGATGGTGGGCGTTCATTCAACTTCATTCCTCACTACAACGTCACTCTCAAGAATCCAAAGTATGCAAAGGCATCGAATGGAAAGGTAAACAATAAAGCACCTTGCTCCCAAATCCTTACTAATGTAGAACAGGAGTATGACGCTTTCAGAGGCTTCCGCAGCCATCACATCCACATGTCTATTGCTATCGCCGCTCCATACGACAGAGAATGGTCTGTCGCTAATTTGGAGCCATCGAAAACCTACAACAGTGTTCATCTCTCCCCGCGCTTCTTTACACATTTCTACAGCTGGTGGTCGATGTTTTCCGGTGCAATGTCGTTACCCGTACGTCAAGGAAAGCTGTGGCCAGGGGTAGAGAAGTCCAGTAAGAAGTTCGGGCGACACCTTGCGACCATCAAGTACAATCTGTTGCTGTCACCTCTGTATATGAGTCATATCTACAAGCACAAGGACGCAGAGGATTATAGTGCAGGCGTCGTCTCTGCTACTGGACTAAAGGCGCGTCTCGATAGCTTCATGTTCGATCTCCACCAGCGCCGCGAAGAATTCAGAACCCTGGTGCAAGCGCCTGAAGGCCAGCAGAATAGCAGGCAAAACAAGACAACCGGTATGCGCATCAATCAGGTACAGCTTGACCTCATTCGTACGGACATTCGAGCAGTATCTGCATCCATCTCAGGGACCGGCTCTGAAGACGTCGACAATGCGACCGCGGATGATCTTGCCAGCTACAACCAAGAGTATCTCACAGCTGACTTGTCAAAATTCACCATCCCAGACAACGATTTAGGATGGGTGGACATGGATGACTTTATCGAGCTCGGTTGGATCCTGCCTTCACGTCGACATCCCGAAACGCAGATTTTACCACTTGCCTTCGCCCCGCGCTTCACTTACTTCCGCCAAACTGACCACAGCAACAACATCTCAGGAGACAAACACCGAAAGAGCGCATTCGGTAATGAGCCGACTCATCACTGCGTCATCTCAGCACGGAACGATCCACGCCGGGTGCAGTGTCACCTCATTGAACAACGGATTGAACGCGTGAAGGAACAAGTTAGTCATAACCAGCAAGCTGTGAATGAGCAAGAGCTTAAGGTCATACGCGAACCGTCAGAAGGAAAAGATGAGTCGCAGCGTCGTCTCGAAGCACTGCGAAACCATACCCAGTTCCTTCAGCGGAAGTTAGAGTTCCTGTCTGCCATGCATACCAGTCTGTTGGAGCGTTTAGAGAGTGCTTCTTCCTCCCCAGGCAATCCTGTTCCAGAGCCTGAGACAGACGGAGAAGATGAGTACTTTGAAGCAGACGGTGGTCAAGACGCGGTTGACTCAGACGGCAAGCCAGCGGACTCAGCTCCCAATCCTATCACCGATTTCACCAACGAGTTTAACAATCGGTTCATCATCCATAACATCCACCTGAAGTGGGGCAATTCTTTGCGAAACATAATACTCCGCTACATTCACCAAGTCAGTCAGCGTCGAGGTTTCGTTTATTATATGTCTCGGAGAGCTGTGAAGTTCATACTCGACGTTGTTGAGGAGCAAAGCAAGTCCCGCGGACCGTCCACGTCTGGGCCCGATGAAACACCCATGGCTGGTGATAACGAAGCAGGACTAAACATCGACGAAACAATTGAACAGTTTCTGCGCGACGGGAAGAAATTCGTTGATGCTGATGAGGAAGATGCTAAGAGTAAGACTACCGATGGCACCTCTGGAGGTACTAATGAGCCTTCACCTGCAAATCCTGCAAAGGCAGACGAAGAAGTCGCAGACGACTATGTTTCTCAGAACTCATATCTCGTGCGTCTTATTGCGCCGCAAATCCAGTTGCAAAGCGAGAAAGACACAAAGTCTGCAGTGCTTGTCACAGCGAAAGGCATGCAGCTCAAGGTTCTACAGATCATGGACAAGGACAGAGTCATGGACGAGGTATCAGGCCTAGTCCAACGAAGGTTCATCGCGGCTATGGACAGTCTACAAATTTTCGTCACGAATTCAAAGACTTTCAGTAGTCCGGAGGATATTCACATGTACTCCGGCAGCATGTACGGAACCCCTGCTGGCTCGGCATGGCCACCATGGGTACCTTTCGAGGTCATGTTTGAATTTCACAGCAATCCTTTCGGGTTCCAGCGCGTGGTACAAAGAACTTCAGCCAGTATGCGATATGATAAGCACAACGCGCTGCGTCTGAAGTATAACGACGATGTCTCGGCTGGCGACTCTTCTTCTTCTACCGACAACATGGAGAGTCGAATTGACCACCTCTGGGTGGATTTCCCACACGTGAGAGCCCTATGTGACTCTAGACAATACTACGCGATGTATGTCATCGTACTAGATCTACTCTTGTACCACGAGCCATTGGAAAAGACGCGTAATGAGCGACTTGAGAAAATCATGCTTGCCTCTGACTTCACCGACCTTGCCGGGGCTCCAAACCTAGTCATGGGTCTTCAGGAACGCATTCAGCAGCTCGAGGAGATCAAGACTGTCTTCCAGGTCAACGAGAAGTACCTGGACAAACAAGGATGGGAAGATCGTATAGAGGTCGAGAAAGACTTGGCTGTTTACGAGGATGAACTATTCTTCGTCATGAAAGCGATCACAACCGCACAGCGCAAGCAAGACGACCGTGCGCAAGCAAGACAGTCGACTGGGCTCTTGCGGATGTACGTCTCTGCATCTGACATTGTTTGGCATCTGCTTCGCGAAGGTGCCGAATCGCTAGCAGAGTTCCAACTCAAGAATGTAGCGTTCGATCGCACTGACAACAACGACGGATCTAATTCCAACTCTCTAGAGATTGAACAGGTGCGAGGTCTGAACCTACTACCCAACGCACTATACCCTGAAATGATATCGCCTTTCCTGGAGCAGGACCAGACTCTGCCGGAGAACGCCAGATGCCTCAAGGTCTACTTCGTGGCACTAGAGTCGATCGCAGGTATCCCTGTTGTGGAGCATTTTGAGGTTGAGCTATATCCACTGAAGGTGCAGCTAGAATACCAGATCGGCAAGAAACTGTTGCAATATGTTTTCCCTACGTATGGCGACAGCAAGACTGCAAATTCATCGCCTTTCTTACTCAAACACACTCTACCGACCCAGGATGAGGAGGATGAGGAAGCTAATAGCGTCGGGACAGCAAGCATGAACGCTTCGCTCTCAACGGATGACGGCGCAGTAGAAGCTCTCAAGCAACGACTTACGCCCACACTTCAGCTGCCTGATCCGGTACAGAAGTCTGATGCAAAGCGGAAGGGCATGGTGAAGCGGCCGAGCGCTCACTATTTCCGTTTCTTCAAAGATAACAACGCGTCGCGTAGTGGAACCGAGCTCCGTCGCACTCTTCATCCGAGCTCTGCATTGATTGTTCCTACGTTGGGTAGCACTTCCAACAACTCTTCTAGACCAAGCTCCGTTCGGTCAAGCACAACCAATTCAAGCCAGACTGTAAATGAGTCCGAACGAACCGCGAAACGCTTCGCGCTCTATCGTACTGGTACCAATTTGACTGAGAAGCGCACGAACAAGAAAGAAGTTAGGAGCGATGATTTGACAAAGATGATGAGTCGCGCAAGCGAGTTCATGACTGTTGCTTACTTCAAGATCCCCTCCATGGTCTTGTGTCTCTCCTACAAGGGCAAGAGCACACGTAACTTTGAAGATGTCCACGATCTGGTCTTCAGGATGCCTACGATAGAGTACCGCAACAAAACTTGGTCCAATTTGGATCTCGTCACACAACTCAAGAAAGATGTCTTAAGAGCGCTTCTATCTCATGCCGGTACGATCGTCGGTAACAAGATCTCGCATCACCGTCCGTCAGCCAAAGCACAGTCTCGTCTTCGTCAAATTGCGAACAGCAGCGCAATGCTCAACACGTCTCCAGATCTGTCCGGCACCGATTCGAATTCCATGCGTGACCACTCACCCGGTGGATCCGACCTCTCAGCCGAAGATCGCATGCCCCGCCGTTCCTTCGCATCAGGACGCCAAGGTAGTCTTATTAGCACTGTCTCGGAAGAAGGGTCATCCTTGCACTCTTCAAAGCCGGCTTCAACCAACCAAGCACGTTCCACGCACGGTTCTATCATGGGCGGCTACAGTCATAACAGCAGCGGCCTGGGCGTCGACGACGTCGAAGATGGACGCGCATTTGCTGATGAGCTGTCAAGAGTAGACAACACAGAGCCTGTCCACGCAAACCTTATTCATAGCTTGAGTAAACATATTGCTGGGGTCAGCGCACCCTTCGCTGGACACATGAGAAGCAGAGCTGGTAGTGGTGCAGCCAGCATGCGAGCTGCGAGCGTAGCCACTGGCATTAGCGGTGTCAGCGGAAGAGAAGGCAGCGTGATGGATGATGACACGGACGGTCCGAAGACGAAGAAAGCGAAAGCTTTAGGGAAAAAGCTACTCGGTAGGGGGAATTAGAGATTTCCCTTATCGACAAGAACAGGAGCGTCGACTCCTGATTTCCTTATCTCTCATCATTCATAGCATCACTCGGCGTTTTTTTCATTTGTAAATACTGTGCGATAGATAGGTGGAGGAAGGGCTTTTTGCTTTGTACTATAGGGTTCGAGGTGCCCAGGGCTTTTGGGTAAAAATAGTCATTCGTAACTCTTTCCTAGAGCGTTAATAGTATCAGAGAGATCACTATTTTTTTTAGACTTCACAAATCTTATGCAGTATCAGAGTTTGGTTTCGCTCCTTCATTGATAGTACAGATTCGGTTGACTACGATGTTACTCGTTCTTCGCGCAGATACAGGGTTGGCTTGCTCGACATGAAGACACGACAAGTTCGCGTTTGGTCGAGCTGATGGTGCGTTTCGAAGACATCGTTACCACATCTCAAAAGCATTCCATGTTCGCGATTTCGGTCTCTTTCCTCTCATCTACTCCATCATGGATAACCCCTCTGCATACAGACTGAAGTTGTTTTGAGCGCTTGAGTACCTTGTCCCAGCCTCTACATACTCGACAATACATCACAACGGTACATCCGAGGCACTGAGTTGTCGGACAGTGATATGGCGCTGAATCGTTTCTTAACCTGAACCATTACAGTTGTCAATGCAGGCACCGGCGTGCCGGACATGTTGCGGCGGCGAAGGATACAACCCCCCCGAGGGCTGTTGAAAACCATTACCTTTGTTATTGATACCACAACGAAGCTAGTGCTATAGCTGGTAAATCTTACCAGCAGAGACGTTGTACACGTTCAGTGTTTTCGCCACACCCGCGTGCACGGTCGGCGACCACGATCAATTTACACTGTGTTGCTAGCTCCTCTCGTCAGACGGTAGGGCTAGAGTGCCTCTGTTGTTGTTAAGAGGAATAGTTACTTAGACTGTGATTGATCAACTCAACCGCTGCTTTAACACATTCGCACTATCTAGAACTAGAATCACGACTGCGTACAGGTTCTTGAGAGGTATCACGTCCCGATATGGCCCCAAAACACAAGCATGATACTGGTACAGCTGTTGGCCTGGCCTTAAATCACAGTATCTCAGAAACACCGGTACAGAAGGCATGGTAAATACACGTTTCAATCTTTTGCGGTCACTAATACTATCCGCCCAGAGCACTCGGGTCATCATGCCCAACCATCATACCGTCACGTCGACGGAACGATATGAAGCTTCAGTCAAATCACAGTCTGGCTTCTTTTCACGTCTTCCTCTGGAGATCCGCAACGTGATATATGGCAAGATCTGGGGAGATGCGGACACCACTAGCCAGCGATCCCAACGCATAGGGTATGATATGGCATATGATGGCGGTAACGACCCTCTCGACTTTTCTGTTGGCACCGAAGCGGACAGGACGAATTGGCTCTTAACTAACAAACAGATGATGACTGGAGGAATTCATCAGCTGTATCGAAAGTCCACATGTCACTTGAACGATGGTGACAATGCTATTTCGTCTAGGCACGACGCCTCGCAATTATTGAGATCACTCCAGGTACTTTCGTACGCAATATATCTCCAGCGCGAACCTTTCATCTTCGATGGTGAGCAGCGGACTTACCGGATGAACTCTGCTGTGCGCACGCAGATCAACCGAACCATAGGATGGGCAGACTCTACATCTCCAGTAAAATCATTCCAGATACACGTCAAACGTCCGTTTCAGGAGCCCGCACTTGCCAGGACCAAGGCAGACTTCAAGTTCGATCTTCAACACCTCGAGTCCCTCAAAAAACACGAAAACCTAAATAGATTTGAAGTCCATATCCTTTGTGATATGGATGATGCCGTGATGCTGTCTGCACATTGGAGAGTCAACAGTGCAACACATGCCAGGTGCCTAGAAGACCACTACTTCGATACTTTGAGGGCCGAGATTATACGTGTAGGCCAGTTCTTGATTGAGGGTGGTAAGAAGAGCGGGTATATGAAGGAGACTACTCGAGAGAGCGACGGGATTCGGCAGTTGAGCTGGGGTTGGATTTTCGAGAAACCGTGAAAGAATTGTCAAGTTCTCAAGTAATGAAGAGGCAGCATTTCCTGACGAGACTAACTGTAGCAAGCGTACAAGTAGCATAAATTAGAAAATGGAAAGCAGAGATCGAACAGAAGCCGAGTAACTATCAATAACTTGCAAGTGGTTCATGAAAAGAAAGGTATAGAGTGATAGATGTAAGGGTGGCTTCCAGTTTGCATGTTCCGAAAGCCATATCAACCCATAGTCATGGCCCACTGTAGGTGCCCAGTATGTCGCTTCTTTGTGACCCTCATTTGATCTTTGAAGCATCACAAGTCGTCTTTTTGCCTCAGCTTCGCCCTATACCATGGTTTCGCAATCCTGGCAATTTCAATCTTCAAGCTTGCCTCATCAACTCCAAAGCTTTTGATGCACGTCTTCTCTTCTTCCAAAATATCCAGTTGTATCCACTTCAAAAAGTCTCCCAGCGCTCTTACATCTCGTTCCACACCCTTCTCTCGCAGCACATCCCAGCCTTGTTCTAATCGCTGTTGCGAGCACCACGCAACTGCTGAATCTGCGGCTGCTTTGCGCCTCTCTTTGACTGTGTCCGTGGTGTCGGTTTGTTTTGGAAGGCGGAAGAACGTCGGTTTGAACTTTCCGCCTTTGCTCTTGAACCATAAAGCTGGGTTGGCATTATAATGAGACGGAACAGGTTTCCAGACAATGCCTTCGCCCGGACCCGATATATCGAAGGTTGCTGCAAACGGACAGTGCGCAGCGACTTCTTCGGTCATGCGTTCCACTTCGGTTACTGTGCGCTCAATGTCTTCAGGGTAGAGTGTTGTGTGAAACAGTCCACATCTTGACGAGTTGTAGATATCATGGTCTGACAAATTGATGTCAGGGTAATCCTGGTCTTGCTGCCATCGGCCGTTGATGTTAACTGACACTACGACGAATCGGCGGGAGAGTTGGGCGATGGCGACGTCCTTTTGTATCTTCTCGCCTATCCATTCGCCGGCTATGAGCACAGGCAAACTTTCTTCGATCGTTGCGTTAGGATTCAGTTCTCTCCATCGTGCCAAGTACAAGTTTCGCAGTTGAAGTATGGCATCGGTTTTGTTCAACATTGTCGCTGCAAAACCTTGGTTATCTTTTGCAACAGATAGACCGGAGATGTTTCGCGATTGGAAGACGATGCGATTGTCAGGATATACGAGTATATCTGCATGCGTACCATGAAGTTTGACAGTACCGATAAAGGGTACAGGCTCCAGGGCCACGCTTACATTGGGATGACTAGGGTCGCGGTTCAAGCGGTGCAGATGCTCGACGATATCTGGAATATGCGTTGTGATCTTGGGATAGAGCATTGGCTGGTCAAGGTCGGCCGTTGCCATGGTGGGTAAAGATGACCTTGTCGTGTATCTCACAGCTCCGCTGGGATCACGACAGACGTAAGGATACTTTGCAGTAACCCGCCAGCGTTGCGCTTAGAGACACGGGATTGCAACTGGTAGATATTAACATGAAGCGTTCTTTAAACAGTCTGCATGCAAGAGGATAGAGTTCACAGAGGGGTCTACGGTTGATAAATTACTTCGCGGTATCGCTTTATGAGTCTTGCCACTGGAGTTGCGATGTCGCGATTCTCTTATCGATACGTGGCGTAGTTGTCAGTACTGCGCTCTCCAGCCCTGTCCATGGCAGTTCAGAGCCATCGTAAAACTGCAACACGTCTAGGGCTTTCTAAATTGCCTATGGGATGACCTCCCAGCTACGAGCCGAACCCATCAATAGAAAACTTTGCACGTACTGTCGGGCTCAACTCCGGTGTAGCGTGCGCACAGGCGAAATCGTTATCAGTGAGCTTCTGATCGCCTGCATCAGCCCTGGAGGCTTGCAATAGCCTAGTGAGGCTGCTTTCACGTAGGGATACGAGGCCGGAATTGAAGACACTTGGTGTTGCAGTGCCTAGCTGCGGCTACAGAAGGGCGAGGGAGGTCTAATTTTGGTCGGAAATGCATCTAGAACGCATACAGAGTCATTTTCCATGAGTTTTGTTTAACATTTTTGCTCTTGTGTATGTCTAAAGACAACAAGTTGTTGATGGTCCTGATCATGAGGCCGGAATTGAGTGCGCATCTAACGCCGATTTGCGGCTCCCTGCGGTCCTTCTTTCGGTCTTATTCTGGTTGGTTCCCAACCGAACCGTTGCTACCACTCGTAATGGTGATCAACTATGACCGCCTTCACGAAACCACACCGTGTATCATCAAATGAGTCCTGAGAGACGCTTTACTCAGATTACTTTCGGGGGCGATTTACCATGTTTGTACATGTGCTGGCCATTGTTTTTGTAAGGTGGTGCGATTCGGTCCGATTTAAAAGAGGCTGTCACCGCCATAGTCAGCATGGTCGTTGCCAGCTTCAAAGACTGACACTTGGAACAATATTGTAACTGCTAGTCGCTTCTCATGATTATTCAGCCTCTATATGGAGATGAGATTATTGCTGTGATAAAATTCAATGTTTCGTGAATCGTTGTGTTCCACTTCGCTACCTTTCCATCGTGGGTTGGATGAACAGAGCCATTAGACGATACGGCGCATGCTCCATTTAAAGCTGGAAAACATGACATTTATATCATCACTTCAATCTGTTGACTCTTGTGAAGCCTCGATCGATAGGGATACCACCCATATTGCGCTGCCTGAGCCCTCTTCCTCTACTGTACCCAAGTCTTGGCGACGATGAGCATACCACCCCAACTCATCTCGGACGCCTGGGGGAGCTTCAGGATCGAGGCCGGGCATTGGGGGATCCCATCGGGTCAAAGTCTGCTGATGGAGACAAATAATCCAGTCATTACGTACTTCTTATCTTCTTCAACGGTAGGTTTCCGGCCATGGCCGGTTTTTATTCCGGCCACGAGATATAAGCAGCTCGTCGTCGCTGTCGTGAGAAGCTTCATAGCATCTCATCTCAACACCACCATCTAGCGCTCGGATCAGACCTTCAGCATCGAAGTCCGATCATCTCCAGTCTCTTTTAACTTCATTTTCGAGTAGCTCTTTGCACGATGTCGTCTTCAACCTTTGACTTTCCTGTCATGACGGACACACGTCCCGATGACCACACCCTCCCCGCCTTCATGGTCTCAACCACGCGTGGCTTCCTTCCTCGTCAAGAGCCCATCGTTGAGCTGCCAAAGGAGTTTGCCCCTCTTGAATCCCTCTTGCAACGCATGCCTATCAAGACACTATCAGGGGAGCCGGGTCTGCTGGCCAACTTCACCTTCGGCGACACACTACTCAAGGAGCTTCCTGACCTCACGCCAGAAGTAGAGAAGTATCGCGATGACCTTGTCGTCATGAATGCCCTGTACCGTGACTACTCCTTCTTAGCCTCTGCATATCTCTTCGAGCCCTGCCACGAGAGGCATGTACGGGGAGAGGAGTACGGGTTGGGCCGACAGTCGCTGCCGAGAAGCATTGCGCTTCCCATTGTCAAAGTCGCTGAGATGTAAGTGGACATATTTTTCCGACCTTCACGCGATGCCTATGTTTTGTTGTTAGCTCCCCTTACCTTGGCAGAGCAACTGTACGCCAAGCGACCCCTACAGAGAAACTCTCCATGCAGCAACCTTTGGGATCCATTCTGAAGTAGCATTGGCTGATATCTTTATGCGTAGTGCTGGTTTCAAGCCATTCATGGAGTACGCCGGATCTTATGCGCTCTTTAACTACCGCCTAGAAGACCCATCTAAGGGCCTCGAGTACGATAACCTTCGCTTGATCCGCGCTTTCGAGCATGGTCTGGATCCCACATCATCTGAGGCAGGCTTTGTTCTTGTTCACATCGCCATGGTTAAGGAGTCCGGCGCGCTTGTTACAGGTGCATCCGAGATGCTTGAGAGCTGCCTGGCCAAGGACCGAGAGCGATTCAACGACGGTCTTCGTACTCTGGTCGGTGGCCTCAGGAAGGTCAATGGCGTGATGAACAGTGAGTAAACTACTCCAAGTGACACGTTCGTGACTGACGACATCAGCGATGTGGGGCCGTAGCAAGCCTCAAGGCTACACCAATTTCCGTACTTTCATCTTCGGTATCACTTCGCAGTCGATGTTCCCCAATGGTGTCATATATGAAGGAGTGAGCGAAGAGCCAATGTCTTTCCGCGGCGAGTCGGGAGCCAACGACAGCATGGTTCCCATGTGCGACAACTTGCTCCAGGTCCAGATGCCAGAAACGCCCCTCACGGACATCCTGAAAGACTTCCGCCAGTACCGCCCTGGTAACCACCGCGAGTTTTTGGAGGCTGTCCGTGATTGCGCTCAGCAGTCTGGTGTACGCGAGTTTGCGAAAGGCGACTCGGTATCAGCCGCACTGTATCTCCAAGCTCTTGATCAGGTGCGCGACTTCCGCTGGCGGCATTGGTGCTTCACGCGCGAATACATCCTCAAGCACACATCACACCCAACCGCGACGGGCGGCAGCCCGATTGTGACAGTAAGTGCTCTCTTGATTGGACTCTTCTGCTTTTACTAACGCGCAACAGTGGCTACCCAACCAGCTCACGGCAGTCCTCAGACAGATGGTAGAGACATCCGAGTACTGCAAATCGGTCAACGGTGTTAGCGATATCATGGACAATGTCAACCATCAGCGCGAGACGCTGAGGAAGGAGGTGGAGAAGTACTGCGGAGAGCGGGGTGTTGCTGCATCGTGAGAGGGTGCGCTCTTGCAAATGATTCCACGATTGTTATGTTTCTAGATTACCCAGCACGACATGTCACATTATCATTCAAGTGTTCTCCACTGCGTGCGCCTTTTTTGAAGTGCTGCCTGATGGTGACATCTCGTGATTTCGCCCTTTTAGATGATGAGGCGCAGAAGCTGAGCGACGCGAGGGCGCAAATACGATAGATGATGACTGTAGAAGGTCCTCAGGGGTGGCGTTGCGGTCATGGTCGGCTATGGTAGGGTCATGAGTGGAGCGGTGGTAGGTGAGTCAAAACGCGCCGTCGCGCGAGTGT